GCTAAACCACTGCGCCACCCAGGGTTCCCCCAAAACACATTCTTAACTACAGAGAACACAGTGACAGTCACCAGATGGAAGGGGGTGGGCAGATGGGGGAAATAGGTGATGGGGATGAAGGAGGGCATTTGGCCTGATGAGCACCAGGTGATGCTGAATCACAATGTTGTACACCTGAAACTAATATAACACTGTTTACTGAAATTCAAATTCTAAAAACTTAATAAAATTTTAAAAAATATATGCAACTGCCCAAAAAAGGATAAAATAAACAGTTTCAGGAATGAGGACAAAAAGACAATTCAGTTAGGTCAATAGTAGGAATACACCAGAAATAAGGGGCACCTGGGTGGTTCAGTGGTTGAGCATTTGCCTTTGGCTCAGAGTGTGATCCTGGGGTCCTGGGATAGAGTCCTGCAACAGGCTTCCTGCAGGGAGCCTGCTTCTCCCTCTGCCTATGACTCTGCCTATGTCTCTCGTGAATAAATAAATAAATAATCTTTAAAAAAATGAAATCACTCAACAACAGAAAAGAGAAGAGAAGGGACACCTGGGTGGCTCATTGGTTGAGCATCTGCCTTTGGCTCAGGGCGTGATCCTGGGGTCCAGGATCAAGTCCCACATCGGGCTCCCTGCATGGAGCCTGCTTCTCCCTCTGCCTATGTTTCTGCCTCTCTCTGTCTCTCATGAAAAAATAAATAAATAAATCTAAGAGAGAGAGAGAGAGAGAAAAGGAAGGAAAAAGAAAAAGAAAATTGCCAGCAGGAGAACTGGGACAAAGCATGAAGCTAAAGCCACTCCATCACTCCAGGAGAACCAGAGCCTGCAGAGACTCAGCAGGTGTCAGGCACACTCAGGTGTATTTACAGCAACTTCTCCAGCTCAGGCATTTCCACTGATTAGTAGTAAAAATCCTCCACTTGTGCCTCACACTGGCCAAAAGGTGCAAGTGGTTTGCACAAGGGTAAGGAAGCTGTGGCTACAAAACAGAATGTCCACCACGTGACTGCCTGACCCCAACACAACTTGCACAGCAACGGGGGTTTCCTGTCCTGTGCTATCCCGGTGCCTGCACAGCGATGGGGGTGGGGTCTCCGTCCTGTGCTATCCCGGCGCCTGCACAGCGATGGGGGGGGGGGGGGTCCGCGTCCTGTGCTATCCCGGTGCCTGCACAGCGATGGGGGCGGGGTCTCCGTCCTGTGGTATCCCGGCGCCTGCACAGCGATGGGGGCGGGGTCCGCGTCCTGTGGTATCCCGGCGCCTGCACAGCGATGGGGGGGGTCCGCGTCCTGTGCTATACCGGTGCCTGCACAGCGATGGGGGGGGGGGGGTCTCCGTCCTGTGCTATCCCGGCGCCTGCACAGCGATGGGGGGGCGGGGTCCGCGTCCTGTGCTATCCCGGCGCCTGCACAGCGATGGGGGCGGGGTCCGCGTCCTGTGCTATCCCGGTGCCTGCACAGCGATGGGGGGGGGGGGGGGTCCGCGTCCTGTGCTATCCCGGTGCCTGCACAGCGATGGGGGCGGGGTCCGCGTCCTGTGCTATCCCGGTGCCTGCACAGCGATGGGGGGGGGGGGGTCCGCGTCCTGTGCTATCCCGGCGCCTGCACAGCGATGGGGGCGGGGTCCGCGTCCTGTGCTATCCCGGGTGCAGCAGTGCACCCCCGGAATTCGCGCAGCCCAGACCCTCGGAACGGGACTCTACTTGGGAAGAGGGTCTTGCGTATGTAGAAGCAGAGGTCATGGAGAGGCTGGCCCCTATTCCCGGTGGCCGTCCTGCACAAGAGAAAGGGCTGGAAGACTGACCCTCAGAGGCAGCGAGGGAGGGACGCGCGTGCAAGCCACGCGAGGCCCCGGCCGGAGGGGCAGGGCGGATGCTCTACGGGCACCCGGCCAGCCCTGCACGGCCGCTCAGCGGAGCCCCGGGGTGTGCGGAAAACGCCCCCGGCAGCAGGCACCCCACTCCGCACCGCTCGCCCAGCCCCCGCCCCCTCCTCACGGGGAGCCCGCCCCAGCCAACGCCCCCACCCCTGCCTGACTCACCCCCGGTCTCTTCTTTCCGAGCGTCCTCCGCTTCCTCCGCGCCGCCCTCCGCTGCCGCCGCCGGCGTGTCGCCCTCTTGACCGCCGCGAGCAGGGAAGAAAAAAATGACATGACACGTGGCCGTCCATCCCACCGCGCGGGGCCCCGGAGGCCCCTGCGCCCCCGACGCCCCCGGGGGAGGTCGCGGGGAGACGCGGGAGCCCCGCCCTTGGGTGGAGCTCCGGGGACACTGACCCGACGACCCTGAGCACCCTGAGATGCTGGCGGGCGGGGGAGGGAGAAGGGGCGCCTGCTCCTCAGGTGCGAGTTCCCGGGCTTGTTAGGGCTTGTTACACCTGCCACCTGCCGGTCTGGAGCCTTCTGCCTCCTTGCTCACCCCTCCCTGCCCTCGTGGACTGGCGCCAACTTCTGAACCAACACAGTCATCCCGAAATGTTCCAGGTACCAAAGACAGCTTTAAGCGGCACCAAGTTCCCCAGGAGATGAAGGTCAAGGTCCCAGAGTGATCAGATGGTTCCACCAGCCCCCCTGGAAATATAAGTGACCAACAAGCTCAAGACAGAGGCTCAACTCCACTAATTGTTACTAAAAATGTAATATAGATCAAGCAAGTGCAGCCCCCTTTCATATGTGGGATCACCAGATATTAAAAAGATTGACAGTATCCAGTGTTGGCAAGACCCTTGGCTAACAGGAGCCTGGCCACTGCTGGGTGTGGACTGGCAGGGCCTTTCTAGAGAGCAGTTTGGCAGCCTATCTGTAGTGTAAATGCACACACCTAGGAAACCAGCAACTCTGCTTTTATAAACCTATACCATAGAGATACACAGTGTGAAGACAGGTGTGCATTGTTACTTTGTGGGAAAAAATACTATGGAAAGGTAAATAGGGAATAAATAAAATATGGTCTATCAATATACTTAAAACCTATAAAGTCATGTAGATCTAGAGGTATTGACATGAAAATTTCTCAAGATGTATTTGAGGGAGACAAATCACAAAATAATACATGTATAGATAGTATGATTGATTTTAGAAACTACGTATTAACGTTATATATATGTAGGGAGAGATGATAGATCGACCAACTGATTCAAAGATCTGGCAAGAGAGACAACAAACTAACAATAGCGGTTACCTATTGGAAAGGGTAATGGAGTGGGAGGAGGACTTAAGGAATGGTGAAGGCTTGCTTTTCCACTTTTTACTTTATATCATTCTATGTCATGTGAATTTTTAAAAGAATGCCCTTCAGTAATACTTGCCATTTTTTTTTTAAATTTAAAGTCATGGGGCACTGGTGACTCACTGGTTGAGTGTCTACCTTTGGCTCAGGTCGGGATCCCTGGGCCCTGGGATCAGTCACGCATCGGGTTCCCCAAGGGGTGCCTGCTTCTCCCTCTGCCTATGTCTGTCTCTGCCTCTGTGTGTCTCTCATGAATACATAAATAAAAACTTTTAAAAATAAATAAAATTTAAAGTCATGACATAAGATGTAAGGAGTCATGATTACATAATACATACAGCATGATTCCATTTTCTTATTTCAAGAAATATGCGCTTACCTATTAGGACAGCACCTTGGGCTTGCCGCTGCTAGTTGCAGACACTAGCACCCTCTTTCCTACCACCACCCTCGCCAGCATCTATTTGTCTGCATTCGTATAATTTTTACCTGGGAGGAGAGAAGTCCTGCCTGGGGGCAGGGACAGAAATAGAAACTGGCCCCATTCCAGGCCCTGCGACAGACCAGGGCCCTGTGCAAAGGATCTAACACTGCCCAAGTGTCTTAATAAGCAGAAAGGGACAGTGTGAGCCACGGCGCTGCGGGGGGAGGCGCCAGAACCCTACACCGTATCCTGGTGCCTCCGGATCGGCAGCGTTGAGTCTCTAGGGGCAGCTCAGCAGCAGGGAGGCGCTGGCACTCTCACGCGTGGGGACGGTGGAGAAGAGCCCCAGGAGAGAGAAGGGGGAAGCGCGTCAGAGACAGACAGAAGCAGGTCGCAGTGCAAGGCGGACTTCCGAGCACCCTTTCGAGGGTCCAGGAGCGGACCCGGGGCCCCCGGGAAGCGAGACTGCGACCCGCTTCCGCACAGAACGCGGCACCCACCGGGCCACGCAGGTGTCCGCGTCCGCGGCACCAGGCCGAGCCGCGCGGGGAGGCTCACCGATCTCCACCTCCACGTCCTCGGGCACCACCCTGCGGTAGAAGAAGAGCGTCGAGGCGCCCTCCTCATCGCTGGTCTGGTTGAGGAAGTGCAGGAGGAGGTCCTCGACCTTGCCGTCGTCGCGGTTCAGCAGCTCCTCGAAGAGCTCGGGGTCTGCGAGGCCGAAGGCCGCGTACACGCGGTCGCGCATCCACAGCACCCGCAGGTCGTCCATGGCCGCGCAGGGCCCGACGGCGCCCCAGGAGCCCGGCGACGGGCGGCGTCCCAGCCAACGACGCCCCTGCCAACCGGCGCCGGCCCAACGGCCGCCGGGCCCCGCCTCCCGCCTCCCGCCTCCCGCCTCCCCTCCCCGCGCTCGCAGCGGCGCGGGCCGGGACCCCGGGGGCGGGGGCGCCAGCCCCGTCGCGACCCGGGCCCGCCCTTCTCACGGCAGCGCGCTCGCTTCCGGGGCGCCCGGGCCGCCCACTGCGGACCTCGGGAGCGCCTCCCGGGAGCCCCTCCAGCCCGGGCCGGAGTCCCGCCCGTGTTGCCCCTAAGGAGGCCGAGGCCGCCGGCGACGTGACGGACGAGGCGGGGCCGACCGCCAGGGCCCCCAGGCACCGTGGATCTCAGGGCCTCAGAAGAGCAAAGAGCTCGCCAAGACTTCCAAGGGGCAGGCTCGTCCTCGCACACGGCATCAGGAAGGAGGGAGACCCAAGAAGGGACAAGTGACTTCTGGCGTTTGGGATCAGGAAAGGGGCCAAGCGCGTTGGCTTTCCAGCCAAAACCTGGGTGTAATAGAGCAAACACCCATGCTTTAAAAAATATATTTATTTTTCATTAGTAAAAGAAGTCCAGTACTGATAGGAAGATGCAAAATTGTCCTTTTGTGCATTTGTGACACTTTTAGCGACTGTGGTTTCCCCCTCACAGAGTTGAGTCTTTAGACAAAGGCTGACCCCAAGAACCTAGCCTTCCCACTGGATTTTCCCATCAAGGAACAAGTGGAACGCTGGAAGTATTTCTTACAATTCTAAACCAAAGCTCAGCATCAATGACCTAGCTGTTGGAAAACTATTACTTGGAACTGCCTCATTTCCATCATCTTGAATTAAGATTTCTCAATAACGTTACTGGAGATCCACTAGATGGCATGCAAGCAAATTTGGCTTTAAAATTTTAATGAAGAAATTTACTGTTTTTAAATGCAGACTGCAGAACAGTTATAGAAGTTTTGTTTTTGTTTTCCAAAATGAATCAGGCCCTAAAATGTCTGAATATTTAATTCATAAACATCCTGAGTTACCTATGCTATATTCTATGGCTTATTAAACTACAGCAGAATGAAAACAAAACGGAATGTTTTTATAAAAATACCTACTCCACAAACGAGGGCAGAGTGACATTCAGTGAAAGGTGATTCATTTCAAGGTCCTATCCACAATGAATGGAAAGCTCATCATGATCCTCACCAGAACACCCTCTTGAGTTCCTTATCACAATTATGTCACCACAAGGATACTCCTTAGCCTTGCAGGATGAAATCAAATTGTTTCCTGAAGAAATCCCTTGGATTTTTATTTTAGGATTCCACATGGAGTGAACACCTGGATGAAAACTAGAAAATGTGGCCATCATGCCATTTATCATGAACGTTCTCTGCAGGAAAATAAGCAGATATGTAACATCACCATGATAACTGACCATTTTGCCTCTGGATATTTGCTATTAAGGGAATAAAGTCTGTCTTTAAAATTGTATGTATAATAGTTCTACCAAACAGCTTAAAAACAAAGCACAGCAACTGCTCTGGTAACATAACACTGGAACCTATAGCCTTAGAAAAAAATAAAATTTCCCCTGGTGCCTAAAAGACACCATCGAACTCTATTTCTACAGAGTTCTTTCATAAAAGTTAGGACCACTAAGACATTTTTTTATATAATTACATAGGATACATAACTACTGCATAGGTTTCAATTAAAAAAATGACTCTTCCCTCTCTGTTCTATATCCTGATAAGAGGTGTTACTTAGAATTACAAACTGGACCATAACAAGTCACCAAAGGGGACCCTAAAAACTTTCAGCAGACACTGCATGCCTCTTGTTTACTAATCAGTTAATGGTACTCTGAAACCAGGGTTTTCCTAGGGATGAATCAGTTACCCTTTTATTACCACAGATACTTGGAGTAAAAGTAATAAAGATGTCAACTTTTCAGGGACAAGTCTGCAACCTCGGCAGCATTATTGAGATTTTGCATTTCTCCCAACAGAAGTGTCCAACCAACATTACACTTTCCCAGGGAAAATGAACCCTGAGAGCAGAATCACATCCCAGAGTCTCATCAGCATAGTTTAGGCTTGATACTGTAATATGAGGGACAAAACCTAGTAACTCCAGGCTGGCTTTCAGTAACAGCTCACAGAAGAGCAGCATGGAACATTTCCTACACTTAGAAAGGTGTAATGGGAGAGTCCCAATTATGTCGGGGTGCTTAGTTCGTGCCTCTCAGCAAACAGGTCTTGACATTCTGAAAAGATACACTTAGATTCAATGCTACCATAAGCTCAGCTAGAATGAAAATTCCAAACATTACCACCAGTCAGGTGAAAGAGTACACGGACAGACCTTTTCGAAAGTTTCTCAAAATGTTAAGAAAGTGAGAACACAGCAGATTTCTTTTTGAAAATAATTATCTACAGTTACAGTAAAATATGAAAAATGAACATAATTTACAAGACAAAAGATCTTCCTCGACTTACGATGGGGTCTCATCGTAAGTTAAAAATATTCAAAGTTGAAAATACATTTACCACATCTGACCTATGGGACAACACAGCTTAGCCTGGCCCACCTTAATCATGCTCAGAGCACCAATGTGAGCTCTACCACAAAGCCTATTTTATAATGAGGTGTTGGGTGCAGGTGGTGGTCAGTGACCCTCGTGACCATGTGGCTGATGGGAGTGCTGCGGCCACTGCCCAGCATCAGGGGAGAGGATGGGGCCACAGATCGCGAGCCCGGGACAAGTCAAATTCAAAATTCCAACTACAGTTTCTACTGAATGCAGTATTGCTTTCACACCATCATTAATTCAAAATTCATTAAACTAAACCATTGAAGTCAAGGACTGTCTGCACAGATTAAAATATTCCCTAGGACAGACCTATATTTATTCAAAACTATATTTCAAGTGAATAGATGGATTTAAACTAAAGATTCTAAGAATTAATTTTCAATTGATCCAGTGTTTGAAAGTTTAAATTAACTCTAAATACCTTTATGAGACCTTTATTTATAATTAGTCTGAAAGTAAAAAATTAGACTGTTCTCAAGGACAGCTGCAATCTCTTTAGGGTAAAATACTCAATTTATATTTTGTTATAAAAATACACAAAATACTACTTTTTAATCTTCCTTTCACTCGGTATAAACCCCTTCTGGTTCAGTTACATTAGCCAAGCTGGTCTCTAAGCTCAAATCACATCCATATCGTATCTTCTCCAGTCATATTGGGTCTTAAGGCTCAGTATACAGTTTACCTTTCAAACATACAATTATCATAATCGGTTTTACATAAGGATAACAGGATAAGAACAGTTTTAAAAATATACAAGTGGGATAACCATCTGTTTTACGTTATTTCATCCCATTTTCCCCAATTATTAAAACAAGACAAAATTGTAGAAACAATCCCTTACTTGCAGTTCTAGATAGCATACAATAAAAAAATGTTTACATACTTTTAATCAAGCAGAATATGAATCTTTTTGATTATCCGTCATTAAATTTTTTTAAAAAAACTATACTTAACTTCAGCAGTTGGAAAATATTATCTGAAAACGTCAAGCGACAGACTACCTCTTTGTTGTTTTAATAAGGTGAAAAGGAACTAAATATCTAAGACCAGTTTCAATTAAACATTCAAAACCGCTTCTCTCCCCCAAGCCTCTATTTTTAAAAATAACTTTAACATAACTTTTGGCATTAACATCTATTTGCTCATCATAAAAACTGAAAGAAATTTATATATCTGAAATTGATAAACTTTACAAAATATTTAACATGTGGAAGAGGTATATCTTACAGAATTATTTGGCTATATCATAAGGCAATCAATGAAGACGGAATTTTTCCTATTGTAAATCTGACGTAAGTGAAATTCTGTAACATGATAATTCTCCATAAATTTGACAGCTTGTCAGATACAGCAATGCGATCATGCCATGTCGTCACCGAACTTGGACGAGAGTAGTCTGAATGAGAAAGGAACAAATTTGGTGCCTGCACCAACATAGAACTTGTTCTGAAATTCTACCCTAAAAAAAAAAAAAAAAAGATTTCAGTTTATTAATGAAAGATTGTGAAGAACATTTCCTACGTTTCTTCAAACAACACGTATAAGTTTTAAAAAAGCGGGGGAGGTGGCTTCCTGTGCTAAAGTTGCTTCCATTCCATACAGCTCTCTTGGCACAAATGTTTTTACTTAAATAAAATCTACACATGCACACACTCTACCCCAGGTTGCCTTTCTCGATGTGTAATGGAAACATGAAGCGTCACACCACCTCACACACTACAAACAGACACACGAATATTCAGAATCTCTCTCCCCACATTGGTATCTTCACACACAGACAAGTAATCTGACATATACTATAAACCATTAAGAAACATGTAAGAATTTTATTTTATTTTACAGTAAGATAAAGTAATCTGTCAGACCCCAAATGAATTAAAATTATTAAATATACTGTTATTCAACAACCATAAACTTGCTTTTACTTGTCAGTGATAATACTTCAGAAACAAAATACAATTTTAATTGAAGGGATCTGAAGATAGATCCCAGCGTTGGGAAGGGAAGAACCAGCCTAAATTAAGTGCCAGATTTTTGTGGGGTTATATAAACATGTGGGGAAGGGGTTCTTTTTTTTTTTTAATAACAGTTCCAAAGTTAACTTTCAAACTCACCAGTGGAGGCGTATGGCGTGAAGAAATGCGGAAAGGCCTTCCATGATCAAAAGGATGAAAATTGTCAGAACTGCAAACAGAGCAATAACTGGCAGCAGCAACAAGACTCCGTAAGTGGTGTCTACTCGGAGGCCCACGCGCACCAGCATGGTCCACAGGACATCAGACAACTCTGCAGGTGAAGCATTCAGCAGATTTCACTTCTGTTAATGCTCACTGAGTCACCACAATTAGCTAGTGGAACTGCGTCTCCTTCTGATGACTCTGAATTATTATCCACAAAATAATATACACACCTACATAATTCAAATGTAATCTGCTTCTTGTGTAAAAGCTAACCTGCCCTTGATCATCTCAAACCCTGAGGAAGATGCGGCATGCCAGAAAAATCAGAGGCCTGCCTCCCAGGGAGAGAGCTTGACCCAAACCAAGGTCAGGCTGGCTCTGTCCCCAGCACGATACTAGTTGGCACAGTATCTGAAAGATGGTACCGTGCTGGGGATCCCTGGGTGGCGCAGCGGTTTGGCGCCTGCCTTTGGCCCAGGGCGCGATCCTGGAGACCCGGGATCGAGTCCCACATCGGGCTCCCGGTGCATGGAGCCTGCCTCTCCCTCTGCCTGTGTCTCTGCCTCTCTCTCTCTCTGTATGACTATCGTAGATTAAAAAAAAAAAAAAAAAAAAGATGGTACCATGCTTCCCTTGGAAATGTGAAAATGTCCCAGAGCAGCTCCCTGGGGGTTCACTGTGGCACTATGGGGTGTCTCAGCATAGAGTTTGGGAATTGCAGGTCTAAGTGAAAACTTACGTGCGTGAGCCAAACTGAGAGCCCAGAGCCTCAGATACGAGGCGGTGTTGGAGATGCATCCCAGACAGTACTCGATGGAATGAATCACTTGGGTCATTAATATTTCTCCAAAATTAAACTGGGAGAGAGGACACAATATGTGTTAGATTCTGTATATTGCCTACATGCTCTCACAGGTTACACATCTCGTCCACAGTCACTCCGTCGCTCTCAGTCAGAGACCTGGCCTCTGAGACGCTGGGGAGAACATGCTGGAGTGTGAGAACAGTGAGTTAAAGATCTGAGCTCTGCTCACAGCTCCACCACAGCCAGCTCTATGACCTACAGAGCATACCATCCCAGTTCCTTGGCCTCAGATTCCTGTTTGGCACCTGGCCTGGAACTGTCCCTCACAGATGGCACAATGTGACTCAGGAGCTCATCTCTGCAACCACAAAACACCAGTTGAAAACAGATGCTGGGATCCCTGGGTGGCGCAGCGGTTTGGCGCCTGCCTTTGGCCCAGGGCGCGATCCTGGCGACCCGGGATCGAGTCCCACGTCGGGCTCCCGATGCATGGAGCCTGCTTCTCCCTCTGCCTGTGTCTCTGCCTCTCTCTCTCTGTGACTATCATAAATAAATAAAAAATAAATTAAAAAATAAAAAAAATAAAAATAAAAAAGAAAACAGATGCTTCCCAGACACGAGCCTGGAGACCCTGGCTAAATGTGTGCATCCAACAGGTAAATAAATGCAAGCCCACCACAATGAAGTTGTGAAACGGGGCCCCTGCCAGCAGAGGCTGTACAACACTGGAAAAGACTCTCTAACACTCTTTCCAACTCTGCTTCTTGATCTTTTTTATGATCCTATAAATTATTAATAGTCCCAAATTAAAACATTAAATTACATTAATTATAAAATGCAGATTTTAAGAAATTTTGTTTAGTCCTTATTGGAAGACCAAATAAAGTTTCAAGAAAATAAAGCAAACCAGAGTAGCAGAAATGGCTCAGTTGTGTCTGCCCAGGACTGTGCTGCCCTTCAGAAGGGGGGATCTGCTTCTCCTGCCATTCACCCCATACTCCCAGCCACAGCTATCATGGGCTAAACTGCATCCCCCTCCAAATCCATGGGTTGAAGCTCTAACCCCCAGTGTGACCGTGTTTGGAGACAGGGCCTTTAAGGGAGTAATTACAGTGAAGGGAGGTCGTAAGGGTAAGTGTCCTTAGAAGAGAAGACAAGGCCCGGTGAGGACACACATAGAAGGCAGCCACTCACAAGCCAAGAAAGAAGGCCTTGGGAGAAACCAGTGCTTCCACCTGCTCAAAGCTGGACCTCTAGCAGTCAGTATCTGTCATTTAAGACCCAGTCTGTGGTTATGGCGTCCACGCAGGCTACTAAGCAGATGCTGGTCTGGGAATGGCAAGTGACCCTAGCCAGACAATCACAGTGCTTCCTGAGGAGTCTTCCTAATAGAACAATCAGCCAATAGTGCTTTTCTCTCTGACCAAAAGATTGGAGAAAATAAGCTCAGGGCTATCTGTGGCCAAGGTTCCAAAATCATGGGGCCGGCTGGCTTCAAAACATAAAACAAACCAACTAAGAAAAACCAACCCATACTTCTTGAAATTGGAGACCTAGAAACCAATCACCCTGAGGCCAACACTGTTCCTGCCTGAAATGAGCCAGTGGTATGAATCGGGTCTCCTCCTGCAAATATGACAAAGTTCTGACTGAGAGAAGAATCTTCTGAAAGCAATGTTCATGGCACCTTAAGTCACTTCATAGGACAGCAGGTCATGTTAACACTATAAATCCCACTGTGAAATTGAAAAAACAAAATGACAGCCCTTATGACAGATGACCATAGAGCAGCATCTGGGAAGCTTTGTGTGACAGGTCTTTCGGGTTTTGTTTTATTTTTTTAAAGATGATGATTATTGTTGTTCTCACAGTGATTACCTCTATGAAAGCTTGGTTTCTTTTCTTTTTTTCTTTTTTTTTTTTTTTAAGTAAACTCTACACCAATGTGGAGCTTGAACTCACTCCTGAGAGCTACCAACTGAGTCAGTCAAGCACCCCGAGAGCTTGGCTTCTTATCTAATGTAAATTGTTAGTAACAGAGAAGATTACCTCTTCACATGTCATTTCTCTACATCCATCTTCCACTTGGTTATTTCCCTCTTCTATGTCTTGGCTTCCCAGCAGAGAAACTTCTTCTTCACTATCTTTCCTTATAAGCGTGTAACCACTCTAACAATAACCAAAAGAACAGAGAGTCATTGTCTTTAAAAGCACAAGGACATGACAAATACAAAGTCAGAGCCCCTTCCTTTCTCTTAATGATTCAGCACTTTGAGAATACATAAATAATGAGAGACTCCTAACGGCAGAGAACTGAAGGTTGACAGAGGGAAGTGGATGGGGGATGGATATTAAGGAGCATACCTGTTCTGATGAGTACTAGGTGTTGTATGAAAGTGATGCATCACTGAATTCTACTCCTGAAACCAATTTTACCATTTGTGTTAACTAACTAAAATTTAAATAAACACTTGAAATCAAAAAAATTAAATTAAAAAGTTGTTTGTAAGAACATAAACATACCATACCTAAGATGGCTATTATTTAAAAAAAAAAAAAAAAGTAAGTATCGATTAGGATGTGGAGGAACTGGAACCTCTGTGCACTGCTGGTAGGAATGTAAAATGGTGTGGCCATTTTGGAGAACAGAGTGGTGGGGCCTCAAAAAATTAAGCACAGACTTATTATGTAATCCAATAATTCCATTTCTGAGTACATATCCAAAAGTATTGAAAGCAAGAACCTGAACAGATTTTTATATAACCGTGTTCACAGTAGCATTCATTATTCACAATAGCTAAAAGGACCAACCCAAGCATCTGCTGATGGATGAACTGCTAAGAAGAATGTGGTCAGGCTATACAATAGAATATTACTGAGCCTTAAAATGGAAGAAAATTCTGACACCTGCTGCAACATGGCTGAACCTGGAAGGCATGGTGCTCAGTGAAACAAGCCCATCACAAAAGGACAAATACTGTATGAGTCCACATATAGGAGGTGCCTAGAGGAGTCGAACCAGAACAACAAAAAATAAAATGGTGGTTGCAAGTGTCTGGGGGAGGAGGATGGGTAGTCTGTGTTTCTTGGGGACAGAGTCTCAGTCTGGGAGGATGAAACAGTTCCAGAGACAGATGCTGGTGGCGGCTGCACAGCTGTGGGGATGTATTCCAGGCCACTGAATTATACACTCAAAAAGTTACAATGGAAATGCTGTAGCACTCCACACAGCTCACGTACAGTTTATCACAATTATTTTTAAAGAAATTAAATGAGAAAGCTGGCACACTGGCAAACAGTCTAGAGAGAAATATAACAAAATGGAACCCTGGTTATAACGGAGGGATACAAAAGGGCACTATTTTCTCTACGTACCGTGTTTTCTATCATTCAGTTATATTATTTAAACTAAAAACTGAAATCCTTTAATGATGACAGCAGTGCTGAAGGACTCTGTTCAAGCTCCCAGCAGCTTTGTGGCTCACTGGGCGGGAGCCACTCCCACACGCCCACATATAGCAGGCCAACTGCGGTAAAGCTTCTGCAGCACAGGCAATACCAGAGGCTGAATAAAGGAGGCTCTGGCTTTAAATCAAGACACTGAGACCCTCTAAAAGGTGTTTTCTGGACTCCTCTTTTTAAACCAAAACCAGACTCTGCTCACCACCTACAAATACACATCCAAGCTCGTGCTTACCCTGCTTACTCCGAAGCAACTGCGCCCATTGTGCAGCCACAACAAGAAGAGCGGTTTTCCCAGGAAGAGAACAGGCACAGACAAAGCTGTGACGACCAGCAGCAATCTCTGGACATGCTCCTGTGGGCGCAGAAGGGAAGGAAGTCAAGGAAGACACAAGACCTGCAAAAAGGGTCGCTGGTGCACTCAGTGAGTGAAAACCAAACACCAGGTCTCCTTCTTCACGGTAACAAGGAACAGAAGATAGACACAAGTCAAATGATATCTGCCAGCAGATCTTTCCCTAAACTCCTAGTGGAATTCTGGAATGATGAATAACACTACTGACAGAGTGGGGAAAGTGTCATTTTGTTCAGATCTGTAAGGAAGGAATAAGAAAATTCTCAACAGAGTCAAATTCTAGCTAATACTTTTCTGAAAACACTGTACGAGGGCGAATACAAACACAAGCTCTTCATTTTTTTTATATTCTTGTTCTGTTTTTTTTTATTATCATCATTATAAAGACTACTTGAGGAAAGTGAGCACATAGTAGTAGATTCACTTCTACAAGAGGAAAATCCCAAAGGAGGATTCAAAACAAAACTGAAAGAATTTTCTTAAAAAAAGAGAGGTATCTAGTTACCTAAAAATAGAGAGCAAAGCATGTTCACGCTAACATAATCACTGTGGCCTGCATGGTTTTAAGGGATCTGTAAGTGGCTATGATAACAAATGACCAGGCATCACACTGTCCATGGCTTATCCCTCCTCTGTGGCCATCCCCGTGTGACACACATATTCCTGGGGCTGTGCACACTACATGGGTATGAGCTAGTAGTAGCTATGTGTTAGTGTCTCATACCACACCACCAACATGAATCAGTGCCCAAAATGCTAAGACAAGTGGGGTTCATAGGCAGAGTCCTATCAGAAGTCAAGCGCTATGAAGTCAATCAGACTGGGTTAAAATCTGGACTCCCCTGGCAGCTGAGTGACCAGGTCTGCACTGAGCCACTGGGATGATGCCATCTACCTCAAGGGCTATTTTGAGTTCAGAAAGAATAATCATGGAAGCAAATATTCAGGCACGCAGGCGATGATCTTTGACCAGGCCACCTGTGCCCCACTGACCTCCCTGCTATGCCTTTATCTATTCCATTCTATAAAGGTTCAACAAAATAACAACTAAATACAACTTAAAAACCACAAACAGGAGAAACATAAATAAGAGTTGAAAATTCAAATAATTCAGAAAGGAAGTATGCATGTAACTCACCATGAAGCCCTGGTGCTTCAAGATGCACTTCAAATCTGACTTAAAACTTAGCTGTCCACGGAATGTGGAAAACAAAACCAGATGCTCCATTTGCAGAATCAACAAGATTTTTAAAAAATAAAAGCAAAATCTACAGCTCAAGAGAATATAGGCTGTGACACACTGACTGGGAGGATTTCTCCACTACCTCACAGATGCTGGGAACGGGGCACACAGTATCTACAGCAGCATCCTTCAGGAGGGATGCTGTAGCATTCCACACAGCTCAGAGACCCTCAACATAATCACAATACAAGCTCACATTTAGTGAACACCGGCAGGGGCCAGGTATTTTTCTAAGGATTTTATAGGATTAACTCAATGCTCTAAATTGGGTCCTATTTTTACTCCCATTTTACAGATGAGGGAACTGAGGCATGAAGGAGTTAGTCGTGTGTTTGCAGTTCCATTTTGGGGAAGTGACAGCACTGGGATCACAAGCAGGTCACCTGAGCCCCCATTCTGCCATCATGCCACAGTGTGGATCAGGTGGCATTACACAAACACACAATTCTAGAAAAGCCAGTTTTGGAGAGGGCCAATGTGCTCTGGTCCAGATGCTGATTCCATGATGTCTTGACTTAGGGATTAATTTCAAAGTAATTAAAAAAGCAGGGGAATTCGCCAACCCTCAGAAACCCTCCAGAAATACTTTCTTCCCAGCAGTTCTGATGGCTACCAAGGGGCAACAAGTTCAGGTTATAATGTCCAATCGGAGCCCCGCCAGCACAGCGTTCAGAGCAGGTGGCACAGTCTTCTAACATAGAAACAGAAAGCCCCTACATGCTGGGGAAGCCTGTGGAAAGCACCTCCAATCATCAATACAACAAGGCTCTTAGAAGGACTTCCTTTAAGTTCCTAAGAGTAGAAGAGAGCATTACCTACCTGCCCTGAGTAAAGACCATTTGTTTCACTAGCCGGAAATAAAAACATGTTAATAAATTCAATCAGAATGCTGGGAGCAACTTGGGAGGTTTCTGCTGAATAAACCAGCCACTTATAGACAATCATAAATATAAGGTATCCAAAGATGCACAGCATGAAGAGAAGTTCTGGGACGGAAACCAAATAAATATTGAACTTCTTCCGGAAATGCCTAAGGAAAAAAAAAAAGGAATCGATCAAACCATGAGCAAGTTTGGACTGAGATAAAAAGTAAATTACTCTTTGGGACGCCTGGGTGGCTTAGCAGTTGAGTGTCTGCCTTCGGCTCAGGGGGTGATCCCGGAGTCCTGGGATGGAGTCCCATATTAGACTCCCTGCATAGAGCCTGTTCTCCCTCTGCCTGTGTCTCTCTGCCTCTCTCTCTCTCTCTCTCAATCTCTGTCTCTTTCATGAATAAATAAATAAATAAAATCTTAAAAAAAAATTACTCTTCAATTCTTTGTGACAAGGCCTATCTCATCAGAACATCCTTCGTATTCTGATACTTGTATGGGACTCAGATACGTCTGTGAAGAAAAGAGATGTGAGCACAGTGAAAATGCTGGTGTTTTACCATCAGGCCCAGTGATAGGAAGAAAATATACCTCTTCCTCTTCACACACTAGTTCTAGTGAACACACAAAAAGTTCTCTAATTTATAAAATGCAAAAAGAGTATAATAAAAATTAGTTCCAGAAATAGATCTGAATGAACATGTTGGATGCTTCCCTCCCTTGAATGTAAAACTCCATGAGGGCAAAACCTGTTCTCTGTCTTCAGTAGTACCACTCGATCCCGGAGCCTAGACCAGGGCCTGGCATATACTATACACTCAATAAATATCTGCTAAATAAATGAAATCACTGAAACAGTCACAAACCTGTATCATCAAAACCTGAATCAAACCAACACATCACCACCCACACCAGCTGCCTTTAAGACCCATACAGCCTACCCTCAAGAAGCAAAGTTTAAGAAACACCAAACTTGGCTTATAAATACTGCTTTAGAAAAAAATCTGTACTTACAGGTGGTTAAATATTCCCAGAATGACTCCAAAAGTCATGTGAATAATTCCTAAAATCACAGACATTTTCATTTTAAAAGAGTTTAGAAAAGTGAGACGATTTGTGGCCAGGTTCCAAATCTGAAGACAAAAACAAAACAAGACATCTTTAACTTCCTTCAACTGCTTTAGGACACACAGATGACACTCGACAAATTTCCTACTTTAAATAGAAACGCAGCTATAGATTTAAAAAGAAAGCAACATTCAGACTTTCTTCCTGACACTTCTGATCTGAGAACCACTGATTTTCTTAAACCAGGGTCACAGACTATTACAAACAACTCTTTCACATAAAGTTCAAAGGACGTCAAATGAAACAATCATGTCTAGGGAATCTGTGCCTCTGAGGCAATGCTAAAAGAAAGGGCAAGAGAAAGAGTAACACAGAGTAGGGGAGTGGAAACTTCGCTCTGGGGAGAGCTGATGCCAGCAGGGCGCATTCCAGGTCCTAGGGTCTCTTACCCTGGGCGGGGGCCATACAAATATGCACATTATAGCAGTACATACATGTTTTATACATTCTTGTGTATGTGCATTTTATGATAAAGTTTAATAGAAACGAAGGGAAGAAGAGAAGAGGAAAAGAAGAGAGGAGGAGAGAGAGAAGAAAAGAGGGAAGGAGAGAGGAAGGAAGGAAGAAGTGCAAAAAATGGCCAAAGCATGCTGATGATAAAGCCCAGGGCACTCTAGCTGAACTTCTAGGGGCTCCCTGCCCCAGCCTCTCCGGGTCCTGCTGCCGACTGCTTCTCTCACTCTCGAAAAAATAATTCTTACAGTCACTCACTCAGGGAGATTAGGAAAAGGGAAAAGGGCCTATTTGGACAGAAAGATTGGTTTTTTTAAGTGGAAATAAGAGTTTAGAGAGAAATATTAAGGTTAACTTAAGCTTGACTGTCTGGGTCCACGGGAATAGCCTGCTGGCAGTGGCCACTCCAGGGACGTGGCATGTAGGAAAACTAGCAACAGCATAACATAGCCAAGCATGACATGGAAGTCCCTCTTTGATCACTAAGCTAAAAGCAACTGGGTACAGAAAGATCTTTTAAACAAAAAAGAGGAAGAGAAAGATGTATTTGTACGTTCATAAAGAAATTTGGAGGGATGCCTGGGTGGTTGAGCATCTGCCTTTGTCTCAGGTCAGATCTTAGGGCCAGGGATAGAGTTCAGCATCAGGCTCCCCACAAGGAGGTTTCTCCCTCTGTCTATGTGTCTGCCTCTCTCTGTGTCTCTCATGAATAAATAAATAAATTTTTAAAAAAGAAACAGACAAGCGAACTTGGAAGGAGACTGACCCCAGCGGTTGCCAGGTGGAAGGCAAGGGGACTGAGGAAGTAAGGATGGGGTGGAGGAGACCTTTCAAAAGAGCTGGATCTTGGACACATGCAAAGTACATGCGTGGGTCTATATTTGAGCTTTATGAACATAATGCCCATTTTTAAAATTAAATTGTAGCAAAAAGAAGCAGTACCATGCCCCAGTCTCCTCCTCCCCCTCAAAACGCCCACTTGAACTTTCTTCCTTGGTGCCTTTATTCAGAAACATTTCTTCTTCAAAGTAAGGCCACACATTTACTAGGAATCGGGCTTCAAAATGCTATGCCTTAAGAGAATTGTTATAAAACTTTTTTCACATTTCCAATTATATGAAGATGAAAGACAATACCACCGATTTACACAAATGATGTGTAGAGGTGAGGGCCTGGTGGGAGGAGCCCGTTGGGGGAAGGACCCAGTGGGCAGAAGGTCCAGGGGAAGGAGTCTGGTGAAGGCCAGGGAGTGGGGCTGGCCCACTGTGCAGCGTGCCCGCTCTGGGGTGGGGGGCAGCAGGCCTGGCCCCCTGCAGCTGCGTCTTCCTTTCCCTTCTCCTATCACTTCCCATTTCAAACGACTATCTCCACAAGCACCCTGATCACCTTGAGTTCCCTTTCAAGCTCTAAAACTCCATACAATTTCTTTCTAGATGGAAGGGTAAAAAAAATAAGCATAATCCCCATATACAAAGAAGAAATGTAGGAAGCAGCTACATTTCATGGCTCTTGAAGGGCCGGCTCCACCTGCCCACCCGTCCTGTCTGGGCACAGACCCTGGCTTCCCAAATGGACAGCTCAGCTTCATCTCTAAACCAACTTCAAAAAAATAAATAAACCAACTTCACTGGGGATGCACATGGGCCAGGACTGCCCAGGCAGACACCCCCCAGGGAACAACCCCCCCAATCATGTGCAACCACGGGAACCATGCCCAGCAGTCTGAGAAAGCACTGTGACAGTGAAATCTGGGGGGGGGGGGGGGGGGCACCACAGAGGAAGCTGGGATAACAGTGAGGGAAGAGTGCACTCACAGGATCGATGCCTAGAGGATAAGGACCCTGGAACACTCCGGGAACACTGGGGTCTAACTGCAACACTCTGCTGCGCCTGACAATGGTGTCACTGCAACAAGAAACAGAGTGAGCAGGCTAGGGACAGAAGGACAGAGATCTCAGAGAAATGCTCTTCCCCCAAACACTGCTGGGTGGCACACACTTACTTCCAGAGCACCATGTTCCTGTGCTCAGCTAGGGCATGGCTGGAACTGTACATGGCAGACACATTCCACCCAGAGCCAAACAGGTTCACAGATTTGGAAAAGCAGTCGTTGTAGATGAGGCCCGTGTACACAGAGAACAGCCCCATCAGCAGGAGGATGTATCGGCCATTGAAAAACATTCGCATGATCTGTGGAAAGCAGAGCGCAATGAGCAGGAGGACCACCACGAAAATGCTGGAAGAGAGCCCACATCTGTCTGGGCCTGCTCTGAACCACTCCTCCCAGGGGGTGTCTCTGAGGGCCAATGAGAGGGTCTACCTCACATAGAGACTACAGGCCCATACCTCTTACAGCTCAGTCAGTGATGCATACTGTCAAAAACCAACGTCTAAGAAATGTTTCTTTTCTGGTCAAAAAGAAGGTAATTACTACTAATTACCCAAGATGTTAACAAGATGAAGGGTTTATGCTCTTACCTCTTGTGACTGATTTAGTCTGGGATGGTTTTCATTTATCACGAGCAAGAGGGCAAATAAGAACATCACAAAGCCATGGCCGAAGTCTCCGAACATCACAGCAAACAAAAAGGGGAAAGTGATGATGGTGAAGAGAGCTACAGGGAGAGCAAGAGACTTGATTCACCAGAGGCAGAAAACTCTGGCTAAGTCAAACACTTGACCTGCCCCAGAAGTCCCAGAAGAAAACAGACAGGTTAAAATGAGCGTTTTACACTAAGCAAGATGACACAACAGGAGCCATGAGCCTACTTTCCTGAACATCTACTACATCCTTGCAAGGAGAAACAGCAACAACCATACAGAAGAGGATTAATAAATTCAGACTTCCGACCTGGGTTCACTTCCCTGTAGCTCCCAACTCCGTAGGCATCCACAATGTTCTGAAACCCCTCGGTGAACTTGTTGGTGCGGATTAGAGTTGGAGGTGTTTCTTTTGTTGGGATTGTGTTCATAAATGAGGGTATCGTAGCACCGCTCTCTCTCTTTCACATAAAAAGAAAGAAAAAACAAATCACTATCCAAGAGCTCATTCAATAAACACTGACTCCCTGTGATGGCAAGGCTCCGCATGGCCCATGGGGACATGAGAGCCACCACCAGGAAGGGAAGAGTTGGCGGGGCAGCACATGGGGTTCCAGTCTTGCAGAAGGAAGCATGTTATCCAGGCTGCGAGGACAGGAAAGCAAACAGCGGGGCTGAGAATGATGGGGATATACATATATGCGTATGGCAGCCTCAGAATTACCAACATAAAACTGAAATTTAATCTTTCATCTCTTAAAAACATTCAAAAGGAATCTGGAAACAACTGCAATGTTAGCTAATAAAACCAAAAAATAGATGAGAATAAATCAAAACGTCAACATTAGTATGACAAAGTCATATATACAGCTTTTTCCTTCAGTGCTTATAATTCTTCAGAAATGCACTATACTGATTTATAATGGGGGAAATACCTTTTTAAATGCATAAAATGCATAAAATAAAACAGGCTATTCCCAGAAAAGTAGATTTTCCAGTCAAATTATTTCTTAAAACACTTGCAAGGAAGGGGATTCTGGGAAATTTTCACATGGCAGCATGTTTTGTTTTTTTTTTAAATTTTTATTTATTTACGATAGTCACAGAGAGACAGAGAGAGAGGCAGAGACACAGGCAGAGGGAGAAGCAGGCTCCACGCACCGGGAGCCCGACGTGGGATTCGATCCCGGGTCTCCAGGATCGCGCCCTGGGCCAAAGGCAGGCGCTAAACTGCCGCGCCACCCAGGGATCCCGGCAGCATGGTTTTGAACTCAACTCCCTGAATCCCCTGAAGAGCAGAAAGGGCAACCAGAAAGCAAAACCAAAATCCACAGACTGTATTTCTCACAAAATCATGTCCCCACAGGCCACAAAATGCAAATGGGTGGGGACAAACCACTTGACGAGACGAGACCAGCATAGTAACAGCCTCCAGACCAGAGGAAGCGAGGGAAGCAATGTGGTTGGTGTCTGAGTCACTGAGGGAGAAACATCCCAAAGAAGTGAAAAGCATTCCCTGGGAAGCACAGGAGGCCAACCCAAGAAAAGCAGCTGGAACTGGGAAGGTTCTGGTTCTGTGCAGTCCCAAAGTGAGTGAGTGCAAGGGGCCCAGGGGAAGAGAGGTCTGTGGGGCCACAGCAGTCAAGCCCCCATGCCCTGAACTCGCCGAACAGTCTGGCCAAGGCTCCTTCCCACCACAGGGGCCCTCCACTGATGAGAGACCTGAGAATGAGATCAAAACCGAGCATGACAGGAACAGAAGAGATAAGGAAAGAGAAGGCCAAAGTAAAAGAGGGAGAGAGGAAGCCTCAGGTCCAGGAGTTAACAAATTTTTGATCCCTGCTCAAAAGTATTAAAGGAAAAAATTCTGTGAAGTTAAGGAAAGTGATCCTGAATCTGCCCCCTTTTAAAAGTTCCTTGAGTATCATTTTTAAGATCTTATTTACTTATTCATGGAGAGACAGAGAGAGAGAGAGGCAGAGACACAGGCAGAGGGAGAAGCAGGCTCTATGCAGGAAGCCCGATATAGGACTCCATCCCAGAACCCCAGGACCACACCCTGAGCCAAAGGCAAACACTCAACCACTGAGCCACCCAGGTGCCCCAAATCCCTTGAGTATCTTAAGCATGTTCTGTAAAGCTAAGGTAGAAATAGATTATGTACTTACATTATATATATGATTCCCTTTAGTATATTAAATATATATGCATAAATATGAATATATATTATGTTTAATATAGAATTTCCTTGAGCATTTAAACATGTTTTGTTTTCAGAAAACTAATTACAGGGCAGCCCGGGTGGCTCAGCAGTTTAGTGCCGCCTTTAGCCCAGGGCCTGACCCTGGAGACCTGGGATCGGGTCCCACGTCACGCTCCCTTCATGGAGGCTGCTTCTCCCTCTGCCTGTGTCTCTGCCTCTCTCTCTCTCTCTCTCTCTCTCTCTGTGTGTGTGTGTGTGTCTCACGAATAAATAAAATCTTTAAAAAAAAAGGAAAAAAAAAGAAAACAATTACATTTTAAAGTGATCAAAAGGATGGAGGTCAAACCTTATATAAAGTTATAGTAAGAAAAGACTGAGCAGACAACATCCCTATGGACAATGAAAGCATGCCAGAAAGACACATCCACAAAATAGATTTTAACTTGTTTCAAAATAAGCAAAAAAAATTACAAAAATAATATAGTGAGAAAAAGCAACACAAAGCAGAGTTAGAAAGTCAGAAATGAGGTAAGAGAACTCAGAAAGGAATTAGAAATGAAAGAAAATATTCAGCAACAAAACTAGAAGGAACTCCCAAGGTAAAGAAACCTTAAGAGAATAGATGAAAGAATGGAAATTTTTAAAAATCAAAAAAGAAGTAAAGAAAGACAAAAAGAACTCAAGAAAAACTGACAAACACTGAGGATAAGCAAAGATGGTGCAGCTGAAACTAACAGCAGATCCCGAAGGAGGAAGCTAGAGTAAGAAAACAGAATAAATACTAAAAATCACAGTTCAAAACTCTCTTGTGAAACCTTTTTTAAAACTACATATTAAAAGAACACACTGTATATCTGCGTATGGCCATATCAAGACATATTCTAATGAAACTATTGGTCTCTAAAGGAAAAAAAATTCTTCAGCACATAGGCAAAAAAAAAAAAAGTACAAAACTTCTAAGGAAAATTCAGTTATCAGGCTTTTTGTTAGCAACACCATGCCAGAACAAAATGGATTCACATGTTTGAGATACCCATGGAAAACAAAAACAAAAATTTTAAAAACATGAGCCAAGGATTTTATTTCCAAAAAATGAACCTCCAATTATAAAGGCAGGAGACACACTATTATTGACATGTGAGAACCCAGGGAGTGCTGTTCCCATGGGCCCTGCTGAGGACTCCTGGAGAACATGGTTCGGACAGCCACAACGACATGGAGAGACGCTGGCATCAATCTGGTGGTCTGTAGGCTACAAGCTCCAAAATGCCCCAACGGAAGCATGGTACTGCTAAGGGCTCTGCACACCAGGACTGCTGTGTGTTCCCATCAACGCATTGGCAGCAAAAAGGCATGTAGACATCAGTCAACCCACAGGTTCTTGTGATGCAGAGTGATTTGCTGGTCTTCAGCAACACTCAGAAAGGTTATAATTGGCTGGTTATGTATGCCTACGAAAGCCAGCCCTTTTTCAAGAAAACTAGAAGTCCATTTGCCCCATCAAACAATTATGTAATGGGGGGATTCCTGGATGGCTCAGTGGTTTAGCGCCTGCCTTCGCCCCAGGCATGGTCCTGGAGTCTCGGGATCGAGTCCCACATCGGGCTCCCTACATGGAGTCTGCTTCTCTCTGCCTGTGTCTCTGTCTCTCTCTCTCTCTCTCTTTCATGAATAAATAAATAAAATCTTTAAAAGAAAAAAAAGAATTATATAATGAAACAAGGAGGCTAACAACAACAATAAAAAAGCCCATATGAAAACTTGTTTCCACGGGTGCCTGGCTGGCTCAGTGAGTAGAGCATGCGACTCTTGATCTCAGGGTCATGTGTTTAAGCTCCATGTTGGGTGTGGAGTTTACTTAAAAAACAAACTTAGGGGGCAGCCCGGGTGGCTTAGCGGTTTAGTGCTGCCTTCAGTCCAGGGCCTGGTCCTGGGACCCGGGATGGAGTCCCATACCAGGCTCTCTGCATGGAGCCTGCTTCTCCCTCTGCCTGTGTCTCTGCCTCCCTCTCTCTCTCTCTCTCTCTCTCTCTCTCTCTCTCTCTCTCATTGTGCGTCTCTCATGAATAAATGAATAAAATTTAAAAATAAATAAATAAATAAATAAAACAAACAAACTTAGGGGCACGCCTAGGTGGCTCACATGGTTGGGCATTTGCCTTCAGCTCCTGGGATCAAGTCCTACATCAGGCTCCCTGCTCAGCGTGGGGGTCGGCTTCTACCTCTCCTGTCTTGTACTCTCTGTCTCTATCAAATAAATAAATAAATTTTTTAAATGAATTTAATTTTAAAAGAGAAAACTTGTCTCCTTAACTGTCACTTGAAATATGTAAACCTGTTATTTCAAACGAAGAATTGAGTTTTGATGTAGAAAAGCCCTCCTAGAAACATGGGAAACTGACCCTGTAGCCCTGGAGGGGGAAAAGCCTAGTCTTTACACCAAAGTTCAATGTGCAGCAAGAACAAACTGATAAGCTCAACTCTACTTCACAAAAAACTTCCTTCCACATGACCAAAACAAGCCAGCAAACAGACACATCAGAAGACGAATACAAATTGGGGAAAATATTTTTGCTCGTATCACAGATAAAGAGTCAATAGAAATGAATAAGAAAAAGACCAATAACCCAGCATAAAATGCACAAAGCATAAGAACATAGAGCTCACAAAAAAAGGAAAATTCAAATGGCTCATAAACAGAAAAGATTTTCAACCTCACTCAAAATAAGAGAAGGACAGTAGCTGGTACTATCTACTGAACTGATCCAGCAAATCCACAGCTGGGACTTTCTCCTGTGGACAGATCTGTGCACATGAAGTGTCATGGGTCACGTGCCAGGTAGCATGGCAGTGTTGGTGACACTGCAGACCACCACCGAGCAGGGAACCAGTGAACTAAGCCATGGTACATCCACACAGTGGAATATTCAATAGTTATAAAAAGTAGAGGAGTTTTATTAATGAAGAGAATAGTATGAATAGCATGCAACCTTTTGTAAAGAAAAGGAATTCATACGTATTAAAAGGAATTCATAGTTGTGCTTATCTACAATTAAGAAACTCCAAGACCTGACAGAAAATAAGTTATTTCTGAGGCAACAGGGCAAGAGGAAGCCACTTTGCTGTATCTTTTACTTTCTATATGTGTATGTTTTACTTTTAACAACGACCCTCCATCCCTCACTCAAAGTACAAATGAAAAATGTACGAGCACAGTGCAGATGGCTGACTCTCCCGAACCTGGGTTCAAGACAACAGTCACTCCCACTCTTTCTGTGGGTCCGTGGGCTTCCCCATAGCAGCTCCAGTCCTCCCATCTGGTCCCAGCCACCTTACCGACCCCTCCTCGAGTGCCCGGCGTAGCTCGTGCAGGTCAGCTTCGGGACACCAGACTTCAGCAATGAGGCACTTGTTGGTCACATCGAAGCTGCACATGTTCAGCATGTGGTAAATGGCTTTCATCTTCTTCACCTGGATGACATGGCTATAGACAGACTCAGCAGCTTTACACAGCACTTGCCTTAAATAATCCTCAGTCTTGTGAAGCACCTGGGGAGGAACAAACATGGGCTTCAACACTGTGGGCACTTTTCAGTGGCTGTCCACCAGGCACCTGCCTCTCCCCATCGCTTCTCATCCTGACCCCCAGGACCAACAGGAAGTAGGCAGAAACCTAAGTCCTGCCAATCTGATGCTCTCCAGGACACAGCCCTGAGGAGACAGGAAGTGGTGAGATGTCACCATCACCAGCTGGGTGGCAGCAGAGAGGCCTGGTGGGGCCCATAGAGCTCCCCCATTCTTGCCATTCCCAGCCCTAGCCCATCTCCGTCAACCCTGAGAGCTACTATCACAGTTGACCTGAAACCCCCTTTTGCTTAAGTGGGTCAGAGTCTACCTCTTGCCACCAAGAACTCTCACCACTATGAGCAGAAACATTCATTACAGGGGATCCCTGGGTGGCTCAGCGGTTTGGCCCTGGAGTCCCAGGATCAAGTCCCGCCTCGGGCTCCCGGCATGGACCCTGCTTCTCCCTTTGCCTGTGTCTCTGCCTCTCTCTCTCTCTCTATCATAAATAAACAATTAATTAATTAATTAATTAATTAAAAAAGAAACATTCATTACAGTAGTGAAGGCAAAATAGTAGCCACCACTTTAAACAGGATGCTTATGTCTTGTGACGACCCAAGAATCTGCTCTAAAGTCCCACCGACACCACCACCTAGATTTCTAAAAGGCTGCTAAATAAAACTTGCATGAAGAGAAGCCAGGTAGGTGACGTGCCAATCTCCCTAAAATATCTTCATTTGCCTACAACCAAAATTTTCCATATTAAGAAATAAAGTAATCAGATGTGTGTTTCACACCTTGGATATGGTGACTATGGCTTCCAGTCTACTCACAGTGTAAAGATCTTGAATTCGGGTATTGAGCCCCTCCTGGATTTCCTTTCGTTCCTCAGCAGTATTTGGGTAGGGGTAAACATGGCAGTGGTAACTAGAAAACAAAATCCAACAGTCTCCCATCCACTGGGACCAGAAAAGGCTAACCCAAACACCAAAACTCAATTCAGTGTGCCACGTGGGCACAGCTCCCTCCAAAATGGAATAAAAGCAGCCCTCTGGAAGAAAAAGGTGCAAAAGCAAACACTAGCCCCTGGTGTTTAGCAAAAACAAAAAAGTTTTGCAAATTTAGCAAACTCTCTTTTCCACCTTCCATTCCTGTCCTCCATTGCCCCCAATTTCAACTTTCTGAAATTCACCACCATCCTCAGGCTGGTAACCATTAAACAAGTTTGAAACACAAAAGCAAAAAACACACAGCAGTAATTACCTTTAAAAGAAAGAAAATAAAGGAAGGGGATGAAAAAAGCTCTGGTTTCCTAGCAACAACTTTTGCAGCCTGGCAGAGTAAACCTCTCCCTGGCCGACCAGGGCCCATCTTCTCGGGGGTGCAAGGCACCCCAACATAGGGGGAGCAGAAACTGTGCCTCCTCTGTTGCAATCTCCCATCCACCTTGACATTTGTATGCCATACTTCACATTTCAAGTTCTGACTATTAAAGTTACTTACTCTAGCTTTATCCTAAGCAACAAAATCATGGGTTTATGTACTGGTTACAGTTTTGCTCATGTACATTGAAATAAATATATATTTATAAAAATAACAGCAGGTTCATCCATGTAATACCTAAAATTGCTTCCCAGACCACCAGTAACGAAGTATCAGCCCCTGGGAAACACTTCCTGAAAGAAATACCTCAGCCCCACCCTCACCCCCACATGGAAGCTAGGCCATCTAAAAATGTGTTCTTTTTTGTTTGACTTTTGCTTATTTTTCAACTGTTGATGAGAACAAGGCACAGTGAGAGTCTCATGGCGACACTCCTCAGAATGGACTGGTGGCTATTGGTGGCAGTGGAAGGTCAGCTTGGGAGCTGAGAGCTGTTTGCCTGTGTTGCCTCAGCCCTGAAGCCCAATGAGAGAGGGAGCCTGGACATGGCTTGCTGTTGGCTCATCGCCTGGCCCAGTGAGTGAGTGGCAAAGCCAGGCTCCCAATCAGGGCCATCAGGGCCCTCACTGCTCACCACTCTAGATGAACCACATGCTCCATGATGACAGGCCTCTGTGGAGCTCAGAGCAATGGGAAGGTACAAAATACTAAAATTTGATTCCTTCTCCAATTATTTTTAAGCCCTGATTCCCAAGGAGAAAATAAAACCTGAGAATGTTATTAAAAATAGTCTCTACTTCTACGCTGTTTTAAGCAGAACGCTAGCAAGAGAGGTGACTAATTAAATGTTTAAAAACATGGTAATACAGCAAAGATATGTAACAAATGCAGCAACCTTCACGCATACTGCGTTTTCCCCTCAAACGCAGAGGATATTTAGGGAAAACTAGAGGCCACTGAATACAGCAAAGAGATGAAATGTTTCTTGTTCTTACCAATCACATATCTTCTTAACCTTGTGGCCGATCTGCTCTCCCCAAAAGGATATTAAAAACACATACCATTTTATGACTTCTCCCTAGAATAAATGAGGGTCATTGTTAGTCCTGTGCTCAGAATCCTGAGAAGTCTGGCAGCTCTATCACAAAGTCAGCCCCTTCATTCTCCCAAAAGTTGCGGCCACCCACAGGCCCCACAGACTCTGTGACCGCACCTCGCCCATCCCAGCCACAAAATACTCAGCACCCTACCATCAATCCTGGCAGTGGTGTGGGGTCATTTACAGACACGCAGAGCAGCACCAAGTCTGAGTCCCCAGACATGCATATTCCAGCTGAGGTCAAACAGGGTGGTTCTCCGCCTTTTGGTTCCATCTTGTATTGTAAACAACGGGCCTTTTCATGGTTTGGTTGTGTTTTTCACACTTTTGTGCTTCATATTGGCGGTTTCACTATTTATTTTTCTATTATTTTTTAAAGATTTTATTTATTTATTCATGAGAGACAGAGAAAGAGGCAGAGACCCAGGCAGAAGGGATAGCAGACTCCCTGCGGGAAGCCTGATGCAGGACTCGATTCCAGGACCCCAGGATCATGCCCTGAGCCAAAGGCAGACACCCAACCACTGAGCCACACAGGCATCCCTGTGGTTTCACTATTTAAAATGGTCCTCAGGCATAATGCTGAAGTGCTAACCAGTGATCCTGAGCCCAAGAAGACAGTGATGTGCCTTAAAGAAAATGCATGTGTCAATAAGCTTCCTTCAGGCATGAGTCATAGCGCTGCTGGCAAAGTTCAGTGTTAATGAATCAGTAATACATATTAAATAGAAACACACATGAAACAAGGTTATTATCAATTGGTGGACAAAAATGTGAGCAGAGGCTCGCAAATACCTAGCCCTTTATTTCCCCTACGACACTGGTTCAGTATCACTAAATTCAAGTGTTCATGGAAACCCTACAGAACTACCATAAATCCAGAGAAATATTCTACAAATAACACTGAATAGGTTTTTGGGCAATGTGCCAGGCACTGCTCTTGGTACTAGGAATACAGAACAGAATGAAAGAGACAAAAACCCCTGGCCTGGGAGAGGTGGGGAGCCTGTATCCAAGCTGGCAGCAAGAGACACAAAGAAAACACATGGTCTACCACATGGAGAAAAGTGTTAAGTGCTCTAAAGGAAACAAAGTTGGAGGAGGTGAAGGGGGAGGGGACTCAGGCTGTGATTTTAAACAGGGTGACCAGGGAAGGCCGCCTTGAGAAGGGGACACAGGAGCTTAAAGGAGTGAAGGAGGGGAGGAAGCCATATGGCCGCTGCGAGAAGGGCCTTCTGAGGGACAAGGAGCTTGCAGAGAAGCAGGTCCCCAGGGAAAGCAGGCCAGTGCACAGAAGGGGTGTGGGCAGGGCAGAGTAGCAACACAGGTCAGTCATGTGACAAGGCCCACAAGAGGTGACAGTATAAGGCTCTGGGCGTTTTGCCAAGTGAGACAGGAAGCTACTGGATGGTTTTAAGAGGAGAAGTGACATGATCTGACTGAAGTCTTATAGGAATCATTCTAGATGCTGGGAGGAGAGAGCACAACTGGGCAGCGGTCGGGGCAGGAACTCAGGACAGAGACTTCTATAGGATGGAGGTACTTGAAGCGTGGGTACTCATTTCCTGGAGCATGGTAGTGACAGCAGAGGTGATAAGACAGACCAGAGTCTCTTCCTATTTAGAAGACATGGCAAATCACCCTGCTATCAGTAAATGTGAGGTATGAGGAAGAAGAGTAGAGTCAGGATGATCCCCAGGGTTTCGGACCTGAGCAGTCAGGACAGAGGTGCCACTTACCCAGATGAGTGTAAACTTCACAGGGCAGGTTTGGAAGGAAAGATCAAGAGTCCAGTTTTAGGCATCAGGTGGAAATGTCTTCCAGGTATTTAAAAGAAGACCTGGGGGGATCCCTGGGTGGCGCAGCGGTGTGGCGCCTGCCTTTGGCCCAGGGCGCGATCCTGGAGACCCGGGATCGAATCCCACATCGGGCTTCCGGTGCATGGAGCCTGCTTCTCCCTCTGCCTGTGTCTCTGCCTCTCTCTCTCTCTCTCTGTGACTATCATAAATAAATAAAAATTAAAAAAATAAAAAAATAAAAAATAAATAAAATAAAAGAAGACCTGGAGTAGCCAGTTAAATAACAAAAGTCTGTTTTTGTGGGGAGAGATCCAAGCTAGAAATAAACATTTGGGAGGCAGTATTTAAAGCTGTGAAATTATACAGGATCCCTAAGGGCAGAGAAAGGGGAGAAGCAGTCCAAGAATTGAGCCCTGGGCCACAGGAAATGGGGAATAGGTGGGGGAGCCTCAGGCAAGCACTGGCAGGTGGGTCCTCAAGGCAGGACACAGAGCAGTGGTGAGGGAGAAGGGGAGTGGCAGTGTGGAGGAGATGGCCTATGTGGTTGGGAGATCAGTCACATTGAGTAAATAAGCAAACTAACTGCACAATTCAAGAAGCATATTCAGGATAACGGAAGCCAGATTCCTCACTGTCAGAAAAGAGACTGAAAAAAACATAGAGGAAGGTTAAATCTAGAAAGAACTGAATTTTAAGTTACAGTTTGGGCACATAGTTTTATAATCTATAAGTACAGGCAGCCACAGAAGTAGTTACGTGCATGTACACACATGCTCCGACTGCTCAGAAGGCCCAGAAGCAATGACGCTCCAGGACACAATTAGCACTTGAGCACCCAGATCTTTGTAAACACCGTCTGCCACTAAAAGGAACCAGGGGTCCTTGGAGCCCAAGATGAAGCTGGAGCATCTTAGGGTGCTGGAAAATATGGGAATGCTCGGTGAATGCTGACAACAGGCCAAAGGACACAGGACCATGCGTGAAGGGACCCTCGTGGAAAAATCAGCGACAATTTGGGTGTCCAAATAAACAAGGAGCGTAGTAAATTACAGGTCATTAAATACAGTGGAAATCTAGGAGTCCGTGGATGTGAGAGGGGGAGAAGCACTGACTTTTGTGGAATCGCTAGGAAGCACAGAATAAATGACAGACATAAGAATCACCACGTGGCAATGACAGAGGTCATGAATTCAGGAGAGTCATCAATGTACACTCAGCCTAGTGGGCAGGTTGGTAAGGAACAGGACACCAGCACAACTTGGAATACCACCTTACAAGTTACCAGTCCATCACAAAGGGCAATATGGTGACATGAAGGTGGAGACACCTGGCAGATACCACCGTGACCAAGTGGACATCACGTGTCACCTGGCAGAAAGTGCCAAGGTAGCCAGTGCCATACTTCCAAGGTGTTCCTGTTAAGAATGTGTGGCTCAAGTCTGGTCATGAAGAAACACCAAATGGCCCAGAGGGGTGGGCGTGAGCCCACAGGATGGGCTGCCTATTCCAGACACCATTACAAGCCCAGGGAGGGAGCTGGAAAGGAAGGAAGGAAGGAAGGAAGGAAGGAAGGAAGGAAGGAAGGAAGGAAGGAAGGAAGGAAGGAAGGGAGGGAGGGAGGGAGGAAGGAGAACTGCTCGGAGATGGGAAGAGTATGTTTGGGTTGGACAAAGGTGCCACATCCACACTGGTTTCTCTCATGGGGAGGTGGGGGAAGGCTGTGGTGGTTGTATAAGAGTGTCCTTGCCTGGGGGCACACAAACACAGGAATAACTCAGGGGTCATTACCACATCATGGCTTCCTCTCACCAGGTGTGCAAAGAGCCTAGTGGAAATAGGGACAGAGTCACGGAGAGAACACATGGGTGACAAAGTAAATGTGGGAACATGTTAACGACCAGGAAATCTGGGTAAAGGGACACAAGGCTCTGGTCTCTTCTGGCAACTTTTCTACAAACTGAAATTATTTCAAAATCAGTTACTGAAGAAAGTGAATTGGGGGAAGAAAGAAATGGCATTTACAGTAAACCTGACCAGACTCCAGAACAATTTTAAAAAGAGTACTGTGTCAAGGAACACAACCACCTCCAGCATAAGAGGGAACAGGGACAGCACATAATATACAAAACATGCCAGAAAACCAAGTGAAATGGCCTGAGTGTAGCTTCCATACAGAGTGGTCAGTAGCTAGAAACAAGACCAGCGGGGGAAATAGCGAAAAATATGCTCTGGCGTCTGTAATGATGGTAAGGGATCAAATGTTCACCACAAAAGGCACTAAACCTGACACTATAAATAAATCCTAGAACCTAAGTAGAAGCTGCTAAATCAAATACCCGTATCTTCTCCAGAACAAGCACTAGAAGACACACGCTGAAATGTTAACAGTGGCTCTCACTGGGGACTGATTTTCTCCTTCATTGTTTTCAATACTATGCCTAATTTTCTTCAACAAGCATACATTTCATTCGTAATTAGGGGCTAGCTGTCATGTTTTCAAGATGTATCTCTCTAGACTGTTTCTCTGTATTTCTTCAGACATTTAGTGCCCTTTCACATACGTGGTAGAAACTGCACAAAAGAGCTTAGAAATATATAGAAAAAAAAAATTTTTGACTTGAGTAAATGTTCTGTATAAGAATGACTGATAGGGGGATCCCTGGGTGGCACAGCGGTTTGGCGCCTGCCTTTGGCCCGGGGCGCGATCCTGGAGACCCAGGATAGAATCCCACGTCGGGCTCCCGGTGCATGGAGCCTGCTTCTCCCTGCGCCTCTCTCTGCGCCTCTCTCTCTCTCTCTCTCTCTGTGACTATCATAAATAAATAAAAATTTAAAAAAAAAAAAAAAAAAAAAACCTCCTTTCACGTAGCCTGGTTGGAATATCAGGTTACCAGGACGGAGTTTTTTTAAAAAAAAAAAAAAAAAAAAAGAATGACTGATAGGTTTTCTTGATAAAGACAAAGCTCAGAATAGGTAAATGCAACTGCAGAACAGTTTCTATCTTCAGCTGTACATAGAGAGGTCATAAGGGTCACAGTTGAAGGACAATTAACAGATGGCTCCTGGCACTTACAGAAGCCATAAAAGAGTAGAAAAATATAATAGGTATATGGTTAATGAACAGCTTCACTGGTTCAATTTTCACACATTAGATTAAACACGTGTGGTTTATTCAGGCTGAAACCTTATGAAAATCCACTTCACAGCCAAACTCCTCTTTACATGTCAAAACTACTATGGTATATATTCATCTTGCAGCAAAATTCCTGAGGCAAATTTAGAAAAAAACAAACACAAACACCTTCCTCAAAATTAAGAAGCCTAAGTTCCTTTTTTCTACCTTTAATAGAGCAGCTCATCCTCAGTTAAAACAATATAGTTATTTTTATGGTAAAATCTAAAAAAAAAAAAAATCACAGGTTTACAAAGGTGATATGGCTCTCTCTCTCCTGTCCCTCTGCCTCCCTTCCTGAATAGTCCTAAAGCCTTATGGGTAGGTGCAGGGATGAACCCAGAAGAAAGGGAAGACCCACAGTGGCCCTTGGCAAAGTCAGAACTCAAGCAAGGTGAGGACAGCATCCCTGCAGGGGAGCAGCCCAGGTGGGGTAAGGAGGGCATGCACACCAGGGGCTCACCTCAAATGGGGAATGCAGGGCTCCAGGCAAGGAGAAGAGGAGGAGGCAGAGATGGGAAACTGACAGGAGACTGGTTACATAGAAAATAAAAAATAATAAAAAATTTTTAAAAATAAAAAATAATAAAAAAATTTTTAAAAAGAAGATTAAAAATAAGTAAAAATAGGGCAGTCCGGGTGGCTCAGTGGTTGAGCACCTGCCTTCAGCCCAGGGCATGATCCTGGAGGCCTGGGATCAAGTCCCATGTCAGGCTCCCTGCATGGAGCCTGCTCCTCCCTTTGCCTGTGTTTCCGCCTTTCTCTCTCTGTGTGTCTCTCATGAATAAATAAATAAAATCTTTAAAAAAAATAAGTAAAAATATTAACAACAAGGAACGGAGTGTCTCATCATCAAAGAAAAAAGCTAGAAAAACAGAAATGGAGAAAGTGAGACTGACATCTATGATACTAGACTCGAAATGGATGTGAATTCAGTTTTCAATATATTTGCATAGGTACAGAATTGAGGTTGTGTGTGTGTGTGTGTGTGTGTGTGTGTGTGTGTGTGTGTTCCAGAGCTGTCCAGTGACATAGCCAGGGAAGAGCGACACCTCAGGGAACAATGGGCACCCCCAGAAAAACCTTGGCTTTTTTTTAAAGATTTTATTTATTTATTCATGAGAGACACACAGAGAGAGGCAGAGACACAGGCAGAGGGAAAAGCAGGCTCCCTGCAGGGAGCCCAATGCATGACTCAATCCCAGAACCCCAGGATGACAACCTGAGCCCAAGGCAGACGCTCAACCACTGAGCCACCCAGGCGTCCCGAGATACCTTGGCTTCTAAATACCATTCTCCAGTAAAGTGAACTGGGCTGATTCCAGGGTTGTGTGAGGGAAATTACAATATGAATCTGGACATCTTGTTATGCAAGCATATAAATGGATGGCACAAAAAATGATGGCAGCATATAAAAGGATGTAAAAGCCAGCTTGAATGGACTCCAACTGGCCACATCTAGAGAATCTGAATATCAAAATAATTATAGTAACAGAGTATAACTCACTGAATCAAACAGGAAATAGTGAGCTGAAAAATCTGATGAAGGAGCACCTGCGTGGCTAAGTAGGTTGAGTGGCTAACTCTAGATTTTGGCTCAGGTCATTATCTCACAGGTTATGAGACAGAGCCCTGCACTCAGGGCAGAGTCTGCTTGAGGATTCTCTCCCTCCTCTCTGCCCCTCCCCACCTCCACCTTCCATTTTCTTTCTAGGAAGGGAGGGAGGGAGGAAAACAAAAGAAGAAAGAAAATCTGATGAGGAGGAATGACACAGCTAGTTTCAAAGTGCTTCCCACAACACTTACTAATTACAAAGGAAAAGGATGACTTCCCAGTGGAGAAGCCTAAGCATCACCACCTCAACCAAATCATCAAAATGAATGTTGCCAGCAATGGGACAAACTGAATTGAGCGCTTGACAGAATGCAGTGAGGAGACTTCTGCCAAAGACACATGACTTGAATCCAATCATGAGAAAACATCAGACAAACCCAAATGCAGGGACAGTCTACCAAAAAAACTGACCTGTAAGAATTTTCAAATGTCAAGGTCATGAAAGTCAAGGAAGTCCCAGAATGAAGGAGACCAAAGAGATCCGACAATTAGGGACGCCTGGGTGGCTCAGTGGTTTAGCGCCGCCTTCAGCCCAGGGCCTGATCCTGGAGACCCGGGATTGAGTCCCATGTCAGGCTCCCTGCATGGAGCCTGCTTCTCCCTCTGCCTGTGTCTCTGCCTTTCTCTCTCTCTCTGTGTTTCTCATGAATAAATACATTTTTTTTAAAAAAAGGCTATTGAGATCTGACAATTAGATCCAAACTCTGATTCCAAACTGGACCCTCCACTATAAAAGGTAGTACAGGATGACCAGTGAAACCTGGATGGAGTCTGAGGCTCGGAGAGTAGCAATGTATCTACCTTAATCTCCTGGCTGTGATCCAGGGGAGAGCACTTGACTTTAGGAGCTACACCCAAATGTACTGGAGGATGGTAAGGCATCAGGTGAACACTCTCAAGTGGCTCCCTGCGCACCACGCCTCCAAATCTACTGTCAGTTTATCATTGCTGAAAGGTGATCGTGACATTGACTCACTGTTTCAGGGTCCTCAAGGGGCTCATCCAGTTCTGCATAGGTCACAATGGTGTACCCTTTGCAGACCCTCCACAGCATTTTCTCAAATGCTTCAACTTTTCCTTGGTTAATTAGGCCAGATACAAATCTATGAGAAAATGAAGATAAGTGGAAGTCAATTGAAAGCAATGAATTATCTGATTACATTAAAGGAGAAATGAAGACTTTCATTTCTGGCAAAATGGTGAAGATATCCTAAAAGTCTTCCAACTGCAAAATATATAAAATGCTGGATAAAAAGTTTGGGGGGTGCACCTGTGTGACTCATTTGGTTGAGCATCCAACCCTTTGTTTTGGTTCAGGCAGTGATCTCGAGTCATGGTATCAAGCCCTGTGTCAGGTTCCACACTCAGTGGGGATTCTGCTTGAAGGTTTTTCTCTCTCCCTCTGCCCCTACCCCTGCTCATGCATACCAGCTCTCTCTCAGATAAATAAATCTTTAAAAAAAATTATTTTTGAAACATCCTTTTAAATGTATAGAGCTGAGCCTATAATTAAGAGGAATTCTTAGAATCCAAAAGTAAATCAGGACTTTATAGCTGCCTTGATGTATTCTACTGACCCAGTATCTTAAGACCCTTAATTTCAAGGTCAGCATGGGAGACAGGAGATGGGCACTAGGTCTATATAAGGTGAGGAGATGAAACTGAATCTCTCCTAATCCCCTCTAAAGTAGGGACTCCCACCTTCTCACCCCAAAGACTTCAAGCAGCTTGAAGAACTAATTCCCCCTTAGGGAATGGGCATACAAAAAAAACCCACCTTACAAAGGAGCCCTCGAATAAACTTATTTATTTCAGTTTTGGTTCTAGATAGAAAAGAAAAAGTCTTCCTTGAGAATTTATTTTTTAAAGATTTTTTATTTATTTGAGAGAGTGAGAAAGCAAGCACTAGCAGGATGACATGGGGCTTGATCCCAGGACCCTCAGATCATGACCTGAGCCAAAGACAGATGCTTAACCAACTGAGCCACCCAGGCTCCGCTGCCTTGAGAATTTATAACTACCAGTTAAAATTCACTCAGATTTGTGGCTTAAATTCACATTATTTTCATAGCAAAAAAAAAAAAAAAATCAAAATAGGAAAACAAAAGACTCAAGCTGAGGAAATTAATTTAAAATGATTCCAGGTTGATAGAATGCTCCCTGGTATTTGACAAATGTAAAAACAGATTCTCTCTGAAGGAATACATCCCGAAACTAAATATCATTGGATTCCTACAGATAAGGAACACAGGAACAGATGTTCATAATAAAAAGAAGTCACAAATCACATGAGGAAATAAGTTACTATTGGTTCAAGTAAACAAAAAGGATTAACAGCAGAAAAAGATCCTTAAAATACAATTAATAAATTAACCAACTCAGTTTAGCCCCTGTGCTTCTACTAAACAAAACACGACTTGGCGCTTCACTGACCAATTATTTTAGGCTTATTGGAATAACACTGAATGGCATAAGTGTTCCTTCTTTCCAGCTCATTATACCAGAAGAAGAAATTCCCATGGTATTCAGCTAAAAAGTCAATACAGCTGAATAACTCCACTCAGCAAATACAGGAGTACAGTGTTTTCTCAAACAGATATTGACTTTCTTTCATTCCATCACAGGCTTTCAAATGGTAGCATTCATCCCTCCTCTGACGACAAGGACAATGTGATGCTCAGCCCCCTAGCAGTTGTCACCTACCCCAGTTTTGCTCCCAGCCTCTGCATACAGCTGTAGTCCAACAAGGAATCATTCTCTAAGGGAGGGAATTCTTCATAAGTGGGTTCAAACTACAAAGAAATATGAAACCAAGTGTGTCTCATTACAAGTTGGGCATGTTATATCCCAAGTCACATTTCCAAACAAGTTTGTAGGGCCTCCTAACTCGGTGCCAAAGCTGGGTGCCAAAGCCCCAACATAACTTAGACATAGGACACAGCTCTGATAAATAAAAAAGATCACTTCCCCATCCCTTATTTATAAGCTGCTTGAAGTCAGTTACCAGAAGTAGAGTTAGAATTTGTTACCGCCTCAGTGGGACACAGGGCGCTCAGACAGAGGACACCACCAAGGAACGGCTCCAGCAGGAGGGACTTCTCCCCTCCAGGCTCAGCTGAGGGCAGAGCTATTGCACAAATGCTTTCTACTCTGATAAACTAGAGGGTTTTTTGTTAATTCCTTTACTCTTAGCAATTTGATGGGGGTGGGGGAGAAACAACACCTAAATTTTGGAGCTCAAACTCCACTTTTCGCATTTCTTTCCCATGATCCTAAAAAGCTATTTTTCAACTACAAACTAAAGCATTTTACAAATAGGGAGTACTGTTCTTGCTAAAAAGGCTCGTGCTTTGTTTAATGTTATATAATCCGACTGAAAAATAAAGCTAAGATCAAAATGTACCTCTCCTTGATCATCAATAAGCAAACTGGAAACCTTATGGGAGCGAGTTTTTCGAAAGAAATGCACCTCCCCAAGGGTGTGGTTAGTACCTCCACGTTCCGTTTCAGGAAGGTTTTTGTCACTCTCAGCATGTGAGTGTACTCGATCAGCTCAAGCAAGTTTTTCCTCAGTTTCTCCTTGTTCTTGGTGACTTCTCTCAGCTCCACCTCGAGCTTCTGCAGCTGCTCCTAAAACAAACGGCCAGTTACTTAAGACGGCAGGCTCATGTATAGTTCTAAAAATTCTTTTACAACACATTAAAGTCCCGGGAGGGTTTCACAAGCCAGAACCTGACAGTCTGACAGGGACATAAGAACATACAGAGATCTTCCAGGTCCATCATTCACAGTTTCTATTGACTCTGGGAACTCCTATGAAGCTCACAGCATGCACGATGGGAGGCATTCCGACAAATGGAGGTGCCCTAGGCTGCCAGAGCCTAATCTCCACTCCTACCACTGTTCTGGGCTTTCCTTCATCTGTTTATCCACTCTCATATATCAAAGAGTCTTCCTCTACCAAGTGTACATTTCCTTTTATTTGCAACACAATAATGTAGGGAATCTTTGCTAAGCATATATACCCCAGGCCTCTACCTTAAGAGTCTGCTTACAGTTGCACTTATACAATTAATTGGGCTGAAGAATCCTTGAGGACAAGTCTTCTTTAATAAGCAATTACATAGCAAGTGTCTTTGTCTTTACAATACTTAAGTATTCAAACAGCAGAAACAGAGATGTGTAAAACAAAGCATTCAATGAAAACTTGTATGCAAACAAATCCCTTGACACATTACATTCATTACTTATGTTCCACCTTATAAAAACTATAAACACTGGGATCCCTGGGTGGCGCAGCGGTTTGGCGCCTGCCTTTGGCCCAGGGCGCGATCCTGGAGACCCGGGATCGAATCCCACATCGGGCTTCCGGTGCATGGAGCCTGCTTCTCCCTCTGCCTATGTCTCTGCCTCTCTCTCTCTCTGTAACTATCATAAATAAATAAAAATTAAAAAAAAAAAAAACTATAAACACTCAGTAACCACTAGGGTCATCATTCTATCACAATCAACCCAAACAGGCCAAACCAGATGACTGCGTTCTACTCATCTGATTGCACAATTCTCTCTCAAGTCCACACATACAACAAATGTTAAGTGACTTCCTATCAGATAAACACACAGAGCAGTGAGCCAGGGAATGGTCCTGGCTCTAGTCTAGATTGTTTCAGTGTCAGGAGCTCTAGTCTTTCTCAGTGCAATGAACTATCTGAGAATCAGACCCAAGCCTCAGTGGATGATTCCCAGGGGTGCTAATGAACACCAACCAGGGTTCTCACAGGGGGAACGCTGTAACCCCAACACCCAAGATGCCAAACTGGGGGATGAGGAATTGTGTTTGCTGTCCACCCGGACCACCTCATCACCTTCACACTAAATTCTGAGGATGAGAAAGGAGGCCAGTGAGTTTGGGAGAATGCAAACAGCATTGGCCTACAGCCTCTCTTACTTGTACCAGGAGGCATGGATAAGCCCAGAAAGAACGTTCAGAAACATTACATGACAAAGCACCAGATTTCTCAACCTGATTTTCATTAGCCCCAGTTCACCACCACCCGGAAAGGGAGCATGCATCTTACATCCCAGGTAACCTAATACTGAGGGCTAACCATAGTGTTGTTCTTCAGTTTTCATTCCATGGTTTTGAGAGGAAAACCCGAAAAGCCCTAGACAACATAAAGTAAACAAGCAGCATCTAAGATCAATGACTTTAAACAGCGTCCTCAGAAATAAGTTACCTGCATTTCTAGGACTTGTTTAAGAGGTGGTGCAGGAGGACTGGTCTCTCCCTCAGGGAGGGGAATGTCAGCTCTATTAATTTCCTGCACCAAATATGCTGTGGGAGGAAAAGGTAAACAAATTAGACACAAAAACTCACTCTAAGACATTTCCATCAGGACATTTTCCATCCCAACCTTTCCTGCGTCGCCTAAAAATTAACATCCTAACGCACAAAAGTCTTGCTTGTTCTAACGGACTTAGAAAAAGCCTCTTGCAACCTCATTTCCTAAGATTTCTGCAAAGTAACTGCACCTAGAGAGGTTGGCATGCAGTGGCAAAATAAACAATAACCGGATAAATGCTTTTGGAAATTCCCCAAGTTTTCTTTATTTCTGAAACTGTCACTAAAGAACTTTGGAGTCACACCTGTTTCTGCTCCTATAGCTGAAGCATAAGGTTAAAAAAGGAGACACTTGGAAGTCCAGTAATAACCCAATGGTAGACCACCTCCACCAGCAGCTTGCCTTCCCTGCAGATGCCCTTAGGCAGAAAGAAGTATCCATCTAGAAGAGCAAAACCTCTATCAGCACATGGCATCCTGAGAGACACAGGGCAGAAAGCCAGGCTTTCCTGAGCATTCCCAGTCAGCCAGGCTGTTCTGTCTTGTAACAACCAGATCTCCCATCAAAAACCAGATCCATAAAACTGGTAATGAGCCAAGTCAAATTAACTGAATTTCTTTAGTTTATATTTTCAGTCCATGAAGCATCCTTGTCCTTAGGACTGGTGAAGTCATTACTAGATATAACATTTTGGAGAAGTGTTACTAGTTATTTTATTAAGAAAGAATGACAAGGGGCACCTGGATGGCTCAGCTGTTGAGTGTCTGCCTTTGGCTCAGGTCGTGATCCCGGAGTCCTGGGATCGAGTCCCACATCGGGCTTCCTGCATGGAGCCTGCTTTTCCCTCTGCCTATGTCTCTGCCTCTCTCTCTGTCTCTCATGAAAAAATAAATAAAATCTTTAAAAAATAATAATAATAAAGAATGATGAAGAAAAGTGAGGATGTCTTTAGCAATAGGATAGCAAAGGAAGCATGGGGTTATAAGAGGTTTCTGGAGGGACGCCTGGGTGGCTCAGTGGTTAAGCATCTGCCTTTGGCTCAGGTGGTGATCCAGAGATCAAGTCCCGCATCTCACTCCCTGCATGGAGCCTGCCTCTCCCTCTGCCTGTGTCTCTGCCCCTCTCTCTCTCTGTGTCTCTCATGAATAAATAAATTAAATCTTAAAAAAAATAAAAGAGGTTTCTGGAAATGATACAAATCATTTCACCAATTAAACCTCATTTATTTGGGAGATTCTTCTTTTAAGTCTGTATGCTTTTTGAAACAATTCAAGCTACAGAAAGTCCTGCACATGTCTAAAGTGTTGTCACTGCCTTTAAAAACCTCATTCCAGGGATCCCTGGGTGGCGCAGCGGTTTGGCGCCTGCCTTTGGCTCAGGGCGCGATCCTGGAGACCCGGGATCGAATCCCACGTCAGGCTCCCGGTGCATGGAGCCTGCTTCTCCCTCTGCCTATGTCTCTGCCTCTCTCTCTCTCTCTCTCTCTCTCTCTCTCTCTCTCTCTCTGTGACTATCGTAAATAAATAATAAAAAAATTTTTTTTAATAAAATAAAAAAAAAATCTCATTCCAAAAAAATAAAAATAAAAAATAAAATAAAAAAATAAAAAATAAAAACCTCATTCTAGGGACACCAGGTGGCTCAGTGGTTTAGCGTCTGCCTTGGGCTAGGGGAATGATCCCGGAATCCTGGGATCAAGTCCCACATCAGGCTCCCTGCATGGAACCTGCTTCTCCCTCTGCCTATGTCTGCCATTCTCTCTCTCTGTGTGTCTCAAATAAATAAATAAATAAATAAATAAATAAATAAATAAATAAATAAATAAATCGTTTAAAATATAAAATTAAATAAAAATAAAGACCTCATTCCTAATACACGACCTGTCCAATGACCCATTACGTTACAAAGACAGGAATATGATGTTACTCTATAGCACATTATCCACACAAGTAACTAGGACTTCAAACAATATGCAAAGGAATAGATGGTTAAAAAGGGTCTTTGGGGGAGCACCTGGGTGGCTCAATGTTTGAGCATCTGCCTTTGGCTCAGGTCGTGATCCCAGGGTCCTGGGACTGAGTCCCGCATCAGGCTTCCTGCAGGGAGCCTGCTTCTCCCTCTACCTAATATTAGCTATGAGAAATCATTCCAAAAGTCATATTCTGGCCCCTCCTTGGCTCTCTCATCCCGTTGTTTTTCCATTTATCCTATTAAGTTTTGTACTTCAGTCAGTTGTCTGAGATCATCCCTTCCCTCCCCTATTTCAGTCATAACTTCCAGGCTTGACCTAAAAACGATGACTATCAAAGGTAAAGATGTTAAAAATTTTACAGATAAAACAAGTAGTCTTGAGCTACTGAGTTTTGATGGTAAATAACCTGAAATAAAACCTTCAAGAACAAAGCCAATCAATCTATCTGCCATTTCCTACCTTCCCTGTTCTTGTTCATAATTTTAAGTAAGATGTTAATATGTACATAATGTTTTTAAGTTATAAACTACAAGGGACTGGCTAGATAAACTACAGCTCATTAATTTCACAAAATACTGAGCAGCTATTAAAAATGATGCTGGGGGGATCCCTGGGTGGCGCAGCGGTTTGGCGCCTGCCTTTGGCCCAGGGCGCGATCCTGGAGACCCGGGATCGAATCCCACGTCGGGCTCCCGGTGCATGGAGCCTGCTTCTCCCTCTGCCTATGTCTCTGCCTCTCTCTCTCTCTCTCTCTGTGACTATCATAAATAAAAAATAATAAATAAATAAATAAATAAATAAATAAATAAATAAATAAATAAATAAATAAATAAATAAATTTAAAAATGATGCTGGGTCCATCTGTTTAATGATGTGAGAAGATGCCGCAGGAAGTACCAGAGTGAGAAACAGAGCTGACAACTACATAACCTGATCGTTATGTATGTGAATCCTTCCTTTAAAGATGAACAGTAAAAAAGATGAGGAACAGTGAGTTCTTTTTTTTTTCTAATGTTTCTAAAAATGTTACTAAAATAAACTTATCCCCCTAAAACTAACAAAACAAAATGAAATAAAATAAAACTTACCTAATATTCGTTCTAGTTCTTCACACCTCTTCACCTCACCAACAAATTTTCTTTGGAAGGAACTTACATTCTGGTTGAGCTGAGAAAAGGATGAAAAGTTTGCTGTGAAACTTCCAAAATTTAAATGTAAATGTAATTTTAAAAATAAAGTATTATTGGCAAGGGTTTAGGGAAAAGCACATCCTCACATGCTACTGGATGGGAATAAAAACAGATGAAACTTTTCTGGAAAAGCAACTTGGCAACTGTTATCAAAAAAAAATATCATTTGTCCCAGAAATATCCCATGAAGAAAATTAACTTAAGGAAAAAACTGGATACAGACAAAACTTAGAAGAACATCCACCTCAGGGATACAGGAAAAACTAACAATAGAAAACTGATTTAAGAACAAATAGTCTCCATCCAGAGAGCACTACCCAGAAATAAAGAACAAACCCCTGACACACTCAACACTGTGGAGGACTCTTGGAAACACAATGCAAGTGTGTCTTTCAAGAAGACACAAAAAGCCACATATTGTGTGGTTCCATTTCCATGAACTGCCCAAAAAAAGGCAAATCTAGAGGCAGAAAGTAGAGCAGTGATGGCCTGGGGCTGGAGCAGGCATGGCGATTAACTGTAAGCACAAGGGAACTTACTAGGGGGATATGAAGTTCTAACACTGGACTGTGGTGGAGGATGCATAACTCAGTGAATTTTCTAAAAATCAATGAAATGGGTGAATTTTATAATACATATAATAAATATAATAAAGTTGCATAAAAATTATGGTTCAGTCATATATCTGATTATTATTCCTTTATTAAAAGTCATATTTTAAAGTGACTAAGGTATTAGGTTAAGAAATTATCATTAAAAATTTTAGGTATGATAATGATATTGTGGTTTCAATTTTTAAGCGTCCTTACATTTTAGAGATACTTGTTGAAATATTTATGAAAGAAATTATACATCTGGGATTTGCTTCAAAATGATCTTGTCTGAAAGAGGGGAGGGACAGATTCTGTCTGGAGGTGAAAGGTTGGAATGAGGGGCCATGAATCTATATTATGGGTACAAGGGAGTTTACTGTTCCCACACACAACTCTCTCTACTTCAAATACAAAGCTTAAAACAATAAAAAAAAAATTGTAAAAAACATTTAATAAAATGAGGAAATTAGTTATGATTTGTGCCTGGAAAAAATTAAAGACACTTTCAGTGTGGTTTCAATTATATGAAAACATACATGTACATTTTAAAACATTATTAGAAAAATAATGTCAGATATTAACCAAAATGTTAACAGTGTTTATTTCTGGGGCACCTGGGTGGCTCAGTCAGTTAAGTGTCTGCCTTCAGCTCAGGTCATGAGCCCAGGGTCCTGGGATCAAACCCCACATCAGACTCCTTGCTCAGTAGAGGCTGCTTCTCCCTCTCCCTCCACAGCTACCCCTGCTTGTGTGCACACACGTGTGCACTCTTTCTGTCAAATAAATAATAAATTCTTAAAAAAAAAGTTTATTTCTAGGTAATAGGATTGTGGAGTTTATCTTATTGTTACATTTTCCAAATTCCCCATAATAGCCAAATATTATTTTAAAACAAAAAAAGATTACAGTAATCACTCATGTTGAGAGGCACTTAAGGCAAGAAGGTTATCTTTCCTCCACCCCATCACTTGATACTGGGCTGTCTCAGAAACCACAATCAGACAAGACGTTGTCATGAAGCTGCCCAGCCTGAGAAGCATCCACCCCAAGGTCTCAGTTCTTGTTCAGGTTTTCGATTTTTTTTTTTAAGTATTAACCAGAAATAAGACCAAAATTCTAATTTCACTTCTGTTTGTCACATTCACATTCATTTCTGGGATCAAATTAATCTCAAGTAACCACTTTCAAGCTCATGATGACATAGGTATGATCCACAGAACAATAAGAAGGAAGCGATGCATCACAAGTGGTCTACACACGACACTACTGCCCAGTTTCAGGGTTTGTTCTTCAACATCAAACACTGGTGAACACTACGTGGACATCGTGGTTCTCCATGCAGCAGGAGCCCAATTTCTGCGGCAGTGATACAAACACCGTTGGGTGTGACATAGGCCACCATCACCGCCTCACAGCTATTAGCTGCTTTTTTTCTGTCCTGTGGTTTCTTTTACAAAATTTTGTTTTTCTTTTTCGGGAGGCTACGTCACCCTACTTCTAGGCTGATGACATGAAAACACAGTAGTGCCCCCTGTCCCCAGTTTCAGGCATGCCACGGTCCACCAAGGTTAGGAAGCAGACAATCCCCCTTCCAGCACATCACCAAGTCAACAGCAGCCCAGCACCATGGCACAGTGCCTACATCACGCACCTCACTTCATCCCACATCATCAAAGGCCGAAGGGTGAATACAGGATAATACAACACACTTAGAGACAAGCAACTCACATATAGCCTCACAAAGGTATTCACGTAATCTTCATTAGAGTATATCATTAGAGCTGTTCTACTGTTAATCTCTTACTGTGCCTAACTTGTAAATTATACTCTACCACAGGCATGCATGTACAGGAAAACACATAATACGTCTAGTGTTCAGTACTATCTGTCATTTCAGGCATCCACTGGGGATCTTGAATACATCCCAGAAAATAGAGGGAACCACAGTGCGTTTTATTGTAGACTCATTTTAAGACTAATCTTGAAGCTAGAAAAGCCAGCAGAGGCTACCTGGTGCTGGTTTTACTGATCCCCACATCAGTCACCTTCCCACTCCAGCCGCTGAAGGGCTAATGGTGATATTGTCCTTAGACTGTAGACCCTCACAACAGTGAGACGCACTTGCCCTTCTCTGGGCCCCATCGTGTAGGTCAGCTGAACAACCCTCTTCTCCAGGTCTTCTCCTTGGATGTCACTACAGAAACCCTGGGCCTGCCTGCTTTCCCGCATAAGGAGTGCTAAAAGGGACAAAATCATCCGGTCTATGCAAACTAGAAAAGACTAATGTTAGTAAAGCCCAGCTTGTGAATGCAAAGTCAGTAAGGAACTCCAGAAGAGAGCAGAAAAAAGTGTCAGATGCTATGGAGCTTTCTGCACTGGCACCCATGCTGCTGGAGTGTGAACCCAAAAACACACAGCTGAGGTCTTTATCTGCATTTTCTTTCTCTTTCACTGGTTTTCAGCTACGAAGGATCCCAAGTATACCCTACTACCTAATGTAATAGCCCTCCGTGAAACGCAAATACGTGGTGATCAGAGCCTTCGTTCAAACCTCTATGATTTAAGCTCGTTAGGTCTCTCACTTGGAGTACAAACCAGATGGAACAAATCTGCCAGTTACAAAGAAGGCAGTCTGTTTCTCTCCTGTTTCCTGAATCTCCCGGGTGCTCCCACAGCTGATCAAAGCACCTACCAGGTAAGTGGGTACCAGGAGCCGAACGAAGCCCAAGTGGCTCCAGGAAACAGGAAGAGGGGTGGGCCTTCCCTGCAGCCTCAGCTGTCACTCAGGAGTTTCTCCCTGACTTTGCAATCCCTTTGGAGTCCACCCAAGGAACACTGATATCAGATCATGGGGAGGGGTGTCTCCTTTCAAAATTAAGGGACCCCTCAAAGCGATGAAGGGAAACAGCCAGGAAATGAAAGCTGGGGCCCAGGAAATAAAACATTCCCCTGAAGTGACTTTCAGTTCAATCTGCTGAACACTCCCCTTTCACAGTTTGTTCTTTCCCTTCAGAGCACTTCAGGATTCCGGGCCACAGAGTGTGTTTTTCTGTCTCCTCCAAGGCTGCACACAGCAAGAACATAAGGACCCTGTCCACCTTCGTTAACACTGAGTCACCAGCACTAAAAACACTACCTGGAGAGCAAGTAGTCAATAAAGGCTCATTCCTTCACTCAACAAATGCCTACTAATCCCCACAAACGGCAGGGACCGTCCTAAGTCCTGGGGAATCAGGAGTGAGAGGGCCCGAGCCCTGGGGGTTGACAGTCCGTGGTGTGAACAGATAATAAGCAAGTAAACAGATATATAAGCAGGTGTTTATCATTCCTTGCTAGTAAGACAGTCCCCTAGTAGGCGACGGGACGCACATCATACATCAGTGAACAAAGCCGACGAAAGCCCCTTCCCCTCAAGGCGCTCACTCCAAGCTCCTTCTCGATTCGGGTTGGGGGCTCCTCCGGTTCCCTCCGTCCCAGACCTTGTCCCCCAGATCTTCCGGGGCCAGCTCTTTCCCATTCAGGCCTCATCCCGGCTCACACGTCACCTCCTCCGACCCGAGTCACCATCATAGCATCCTCCTTTCTTATCACCCTCACGGCGAACACATTATGTTCATGTATTTACTTGCGGATGTTTGTCCCCGCCACCCCCATAAGTTCCAAAAGGTCTCCAGAAGGCCTCATCAGATTCGTCCTCCCGCAGCCAGCCCAGCGCCCGGCACGGAGTCGGCGTCCCGGGCATCCGACGGCACTCCCCGAAGTTGGCGAAGACTACACGGGGCGTTTCTAACTAATCTGGCCAAAGACGCCGCGGACCAGACGCCGCGGGGCTCGGGCCCGCTCTGCGGAAGTTCCGGCCGATAAGCCGGTCCCCAGCTTTCCCGCTTGCGAAACGGGGGCGGTGGCGGCGCGCCCCTGCCCGGGAGCCCGCGGAAGGGAGGCCCGGGGGGAAGGCGGGATGCGGCGCCGGGCGGGCAGGTGCGGCCCGCGTCTCCCGGGCGACACTCACGTCTCTGAACTGGACCAGGCCCTTCTCGCCCAGGGCGCTGAGGCACTCGTAGGCCGTGCCGGACTGCAGAAACAGCTGCGCCAGGCACATGGCCTCGCTCCGGAACAGGGACCCCATGGCGGGCCAGCCCGCGCCCCGGCGGGGCCCGACGGGCGGCGGCGGCGGCGGCGGCGGCGGCGGCTCCGGGCCGCTCGGGTCCGCGCGGTCAGCCGGGGCGGCCGGGGCCTCGGGGTCCTCCTGAGGCCCGGCCGCCGCCGCGCACCATGGGGCTCCGGGCTGCAGCGGCCGCCCCCGGTCCTGCCACCGCGGCCCCGCTCCAGCCGCGGCCGCCACAGCGCGCGCGAGGCCCCGCCCCCCGGCTACAGCCGGTTCCGGTTCCGCCCCCCGCGTGCGCCCGCCCCCACCCCCGCCGCCCGACCAATGGCCGCCCGGAGCTGCGGCCGGCGCCGGCGGGGCCAACCGGCCGGAACCCGGGGGCAGGCAGCCGGCGGGGGCTCCCGCCGGAAAACGGCCGCTGCCTCAGCTCTTTAGGGCTTTCGAAAATGAATCTTACAGAGTTTGTGCCATAACGTTCACCCGGTCAGGGTATTCGAGTCTGTGAATTTTTTCGTGGACTTACAGAGTGGTGCGCAGCCGTCGTCCTGTCAGCCCGAAGCGGCAGCCCCTGCTGGGCGCCGGCGACCCGGACACCGCCGACTCGCGGGCCTGCCTGCCCCTCCGCCGAGCGCGCCTGCGCCTGCGGCTGGCTCCTGCCGCTGGCCCTGTGACCCCGCCGGCCGACCGCGCGGGCCCGATCCGCCTCCGCAGGTCCCCGCACAGCACCTACACTCCTGACGGGACGGAGGGCTCGCGAGGCCCACTTCGCATCCTCTGGCTTCTCCCCCTGCTTCCCCACCGTAGCCAGCGGGAGCCCCAGGATCTGGCCCCCTTCGTGTCCGTCGCCCGCCGGGACCTGGTTGCTCCAGCCGCACGGGCCTTATCTTCTCAGGTCGCTGCGCTTGAACCTCGAGTCCTGCCTCCGCCCGGAACACCCTTCTAGGCCTCCGAGCTCAGCCCAAATGCCCCTGCCCCTAAAGCTGTCCCAGACCCCTAGCTAAGGTAGTCGCCCACCCCAGCCCTGTCTCATTTTCTCCTCCACACCTACCACTGTCTGAAATCATCTCGTCTGTATTTACGGCAGGCTTTCCCCTCTGCTAGAATGTAAGCTCCACCGACAAAGGACATCGACGTGGCATCTCCAGGGCTCAGCGTGTAGTAGCCACTCGGTAAATCTCTCTCAGATGCATATATGAATGTACAAACCTAGAAAAGTTAGAACCAGGTAGCAGATCCCTCAGATCCCATTCTTCTGCCAAGGTGAGCTTTTCCCCCTCACCTACAAAAGTCATCCTAACAAAGTCCACAAAATCAGGCTCAGTTACCTGTCATTTGAAAATTTTAAGTGAATTTTCCAGTAATGTTAACTGCCACAGAAAAACTTTCTGAATCACTACAATTAATTGGTCAGCAGGTATTTCCTTTTCCTTGACAAAAGACAATTATTTTACTCCTTCCTATATGGGGTAATCACTTGGACCACAGAGATCCAAATCAAAGAAAAAAAAGAGAAGCAGAAGGGGAAGAATCTAGTATTTCTCAATGCGGTGCATGTAGTGGTACTTGAGGGAAAAACTATGTCATTAGTTACATGTTTAATATGAATCAGTAAAAAATAGAACTAGGCTTACAGATTTACCCTAGAAAATACAACAACACATTTGATGTGTCCGGGAAGTCAGGAGGCACCATCAGGAATTCCATCAGAGTGTGAAAGGGAAGACAGTCACTTTTCAAAATTAGGCTTACTGACAGTGTAAAAAGTTCATCTGAAACATGACTAAATTTGTCTGGTCCACAAAGAAAACGCAGAGGTTTACCATGTGGCCATGATCGGGTTGTGGTTGAAGACATCCATTCATCCAGACCCACCCCTGCATCATGCTATCTGTCCTCTAGTAAGGAGCCACAGGAGGAATTTCTCTCAAGCCTCAACTAGGAAAAACTGTCCTTCATTGAGAACCAGTTTATTTTAAATCCATGGACCTATGATTCCTGTACGTAATCACACTTGGGTTTTTTTGTAAACTGAAAACTAAATTAGGAGTCTACCCTAGCTATATGCAAGGTCTTTGGTATGTGCTTCTTTTCTCTCCTGGTTTTGTTTTCCTCTCCTCCCAATATTACTTCCCCTCCCTCGGCCTCCACATCTTTCCTCATCCATTTATTTTGTGTGTGTGTGTATATATATATATACACAGAATAATACATACATTTTATAGTATATACATTTTGAAGGCTTTATGAATTTTTAATTCTTTCTTTGGAATAGGGGAAATTAACCAACAAGTTCAACAAAAATATATAAAAATGTAAAGAAAATACTAACTTTCCAAGGTAAGAATAACATGTGGACCAAAACTCCTGTGACTTCAGTCACTTGTGATACAGTAAAGCTTCTAATAACATTTATTTACACAGTTGACCCTCTTGTGCATTTTGCTCAGTCTGGTCCAGCAATGAGAATGTCTCTTCTGCATTGCCCTGCACATCTGAATAGTTACATATGTGAATTAAAGTAACAGTGCACTTGATAAAAAAAAAGAATTCTACAAAAATAAAGCACTGCATTTATTACAACTTTATAGAGAGGCACACAGGAGTAGGACAAATCACTGAAGTGAAAATCTGTGGTGTCTGTAAGAAGCCAGGTAGTAAATTTCAAGCTCTACATGTTCTGGTCCAGGGATTACTGAGAAATGCAGCTAATATGAAGAAGGATACCAATAGTAAGCCCTTGGCCACACACTGAGAATAAGGCTCCCCTGCAAGAAAATGAAGCAAAAATTCTTATTAACTTTTTGGGCAATTATTTAGGTAGAAATAAACCAAACCATAAGAGTGATAATTTCTAAGTGACAACCTTATTAGTAAATCATTGAAAACCCTTTCTATGTGTTTTAAGTTTCTGTGACATGTATGTATTTTTAAAAAATATCTTAGTTGGCAAAACATAATGATAACCCTTCCAGAAATCAGCTTTACCCTACCTTGATAATACCGGGTCAGTGGATATAGGAGTTGCGGCCAACACACCTCATTTCTGTTGCAGTCATACTCTGTAAAATTGATCTGGAATCTATGAAACATTTTAGAAGATTATAGTCAGCACAACAAAACACGTTTTCCAAGTACATATTTTTCTATTTCCTAAAAACATCAATTAAGGTTGTCAACTGGATTACCTTGACAGTGGGCGGGGTACCTGTGCAGGTATCTTAATAAACTGGACAGAAGCACTGACAGGGAGAAGGTCAGCCTTATCCTCACAGGTGAGCCCGCAGTGGAACTGCCAATTCACTGAGGAAAACCTGGGAGGACAGATCACGTAGCTAACACATCCAGCCTTCATTTCTAGTCTGGTAAGGGCATCAAGTGTAACTGCCCACAACAGTATAAACTGGGGTTCTCGTAAAGAAGGTTCAAATTCTACTAGTGCTTTTGCCCCCATTGACAATGTAAACTTCCCACTGTGTGCACAAGGAGAGAGAGTAGCATGGTGAACCTCACAGGCCAATCATCCCGCTACAACAGTAAACAGTAGTATAAGAACAAGAGCTAGCCATGCACACCATGTACACACACACATCATCACTCTCAGAAGAGTCCTATCTGCTGTGTTTGCCGGTCAACATCTGCCGTTTCTGCCTACCTAGCCTGCCATCCCCTTTCTTCCTCCCCTTCGGGAAGTCCCCTCCCCACAATACTCCCTGCTCAGCATCCATGGAGCATTATATTCCTGGATTTCATCTTTGCACCCCCTGAAGACTGTGCAGAATCCCTTACACATGGCTTCATAGATACCTGTGGGAACAAGTCACCATTAAGTCCACACAGATGATAACACAGTTCATTTATACATACAGTCATGTGGCTGATAATTAGAGTTTGTAAATATACAATCAGATTGTAAATTTGCATCTCCTTATTCTTTGGAGTACCTACAAGTTTGCTGACTCTCTAATCTACACTTATCCAAGATGCATCCCTACCTTGTCTGTACGCCAAGTATCTCCTGCTGAGTAATGCCTTCTACCGCACCAGCATCTGAGATGAGGATGCGGATGTGCAGTTGGGTGGGAATGTCCATGCAGCTGCCGTTCGCACCAACAGACGGATCTACTGTATCAGGGGCATCCACACCTACAGAAATGTCAAGTGCATTTTGGAAAGAATAATAACAGTTTACCTACAGTGCCATGATAGGGGGGGAAAGTGGGAAATGTTATTAGAATAGGAATCACAGGAACACGTCTTTCAACCCTAATAGGCTCTCAGTATTGTCACTCCAAAACTATGTTACCACCCCTCATGTTCAGAATGTTTCCTTGTATGGTAAGTCAGTCACTGGAATTTTAAAATCCCTGACCCACATCATGAAACCATAAATCCTAATTCAGTTCCCAAGCTCCAAGCTCACTCGAGGGTTTTAGCAGAAATACTACACAGTTGCAGTAAAACGCCACAAGACTGAGTCCATGCGGTCACTGTTCTAGTACAAGCCTTTAAGACATTTAAGGGCCCTGCTAACAACTTCAGTGAGTACAGATTAAATAGTGAAGAAGAATTTTCCTATTGTGTTGCCATAGGGTAACCCAATGGAAGAGAATGAAAGTGAGTAAGAAATTAATTTTCATTCATCTTGAAAACTGGCTCTTCAAGGGAAAAACAGTGATGCCAACTACAGGAGGTAGGGGCAAGTTGTAAGGGGCTGCTGGAGGGACTTGGAAGTCGGTGGCAGTTTCTTTGTGACTCCCAACTTCCTGTTCCTCAGTGCACGTGTTCAACATCTCTTCTATTTATCAACCAGGATCAGGGTTGATTTTGGCTTAGACACAACATAGAAGACAACTGCATCCACTTTGAAGGCATTGAGGTGTCAAATGTCATCACCTCAGCCTTCTTACCTAACCACCTTGGGTTCTCCATCTTCAAACCCCCCATTCTTTCTACTTAGGTACTTTACTGACTCCTTCCCTCCATCCCCTGGGCATTCCACAGCCATCCAGCTGGTCTGTGTGGCAAAGCCCAGGGACTGACAGGCCCCAACCTCTGGATTCTGTTTCCAAATGAAGATCTAACTCTGGGCCTAGTGACTTGAGCATGGGGCACAGGAGGATCAGTAAATCACAGCCTGAGAACCCCATGGCCTCCAGGACTCCTCTCAAAGTCAGAGAGTGATATGGGGCACTTCTGGCCCACAGATGTATTACATGATCCCTCACCCCCTAAATAGGGCAGGGGACCAGGGTGTCATAATGATCCAAACCAAATCACAAGGGGTGAGGAGAGCACAGGTACGTGTCTGGATGGTCCTCTGTTTGAACTCCAGGCTGCTGAGTGGAAGTGACCTAAGGGGGTATGGAAAGCAGGATCCAAAAAGCCGCATACCACCAGCTGGGCAGAGTTGCGGGGCACAGCAGTATCCTCAGTGACAGGAGGGGACTAGGAAAGCAGATACTGCAGAACCAATTCACTCTTTCTGGCCCCACAAGGCAATGAAGCAGTTTTTCTTCCGTTAGCACATTTACACAATCAAGATTCCCCTGATTTGCCAGCTGGGAAGATAGCAAAGAGACTGGAATGCTGGGTTTGTTTGGCTCCAGCTCTACCACGACAAACTGTGCCCTGGAGCTTCTGCACTGACAAGCTGAGTGAGCTGGAGCTCAATGGCCAGACAGATGTTTTAGATCGGAAGGTGAACTTGAGCCTGCTGTGGCAAGGCCCGGCCACTGCCTATGCCACATACATTCTACCTCCTCGCACTCTATCCCCTGCCAGCCCAAAGCTGCAAATGCCTCAGCCCAAAGGCACAGGACTCCAGTCTTTCAATCTGGCCTAGGTGGTGCCTGCTGTCCTTATCTGCTACACCTTAACTTCTTTCTATTTTAACAGCTGTGCTGAGAGACAATTCACACACCATACAATTCACCCAGTTAAAGTGTATAATTCAATGGTTTTCAGTATATTCACAGATTTGCACAGCCATCACCAAATTCCATTTTTATTGCCTCATAAAAAAACCCTCTACTCATTAGCAGTCACTCCTCACTTGCTCCCAAGTGCACCAGCCACTGGAGACCACCAATCTGCTTTCCATCCCTACGGGTCGGCCTGTTCTGGGCATTTTGTATCCATGGCAATGTGTCGTTAGTGATCATTTCTGTAGCTTCTTTCGCTCACCATCATGTTTTCAATCACCTTATTTTCTTTTGTTTAAGATTTTATGTACTTATTTGAGAGAGAGAGAGAGAGAGCACAGAGGGAGAGTGAGAAGGAGAAGCAAACTCCGCACTGAACGGAGAACCTGGCACGGGGCTCAATCCCAGGATGCTGAGATCAGATGCTTAACTGACTGAGCCACCCAGGGGCCCCCAAACACCTTTAAAAAAAAAAAATTCTATTTATTTATTCATGAGAGACACAGGGAGTGAGGCAGAGACACAGGCAGAGGGAGAAGCAGACTCCATGTAGGGAGCCGGATGCAGGACTGGATCTTGGGACTCCAGGATCACACCCCAGGCCGAAGGCAGGCGCTAAACTGCTGAACCACCCAGGCGTCCCAATCACCTTATTTTATATTAACAACACTGCTTTTATAAATTACAAACTCTGGTCTCAATTGCTCATATTCCTAGCAATCAAAATCAGCAATGCAAACTGAAATGCACTGAAAATCTTCAATCTTCATTTAGACTTTTACAAAGACTGTTAGCTCATAAAACAACCGGGTAATTTGAACTTCATGTGGATTTCCTCTCAAAAAACAAAAAAGGAAAAAAAATACAGAGAAAAAAAAAGCATAATGAATAAGAGGTAAAAGATGAGAAGAGCCTGCTGCCTGGACGGTTAACCTCTAAACAAATGTCAGTTGAGCCACAGTGAAGGAAAAAGACCCATTGCATGGGCTCCCACATACAGCCAGCACCATATACTCTCAGCAACAAGTTAGCTGCACATCTCTACAGCTTTGACTTACGTATTATTTCAAGCCAGCCGTCACTAGGATCATTGTAATCAGAGTTGCCTCTCATTGCAACATGAGTTGCTTGTATTAATGAATCAAGTAGTTCAACAGCATTCTCCCTATAAGAGAGTAAGACATGTCTCAGCATGTGACCAGCAGGTCTTATCCTGAAGTCCTTGCCAGGGAGTATTCAGGTTATGCTTGCGGGGTGCCCAAATAAAAACTGCCAGAGAAAGTGGCATTAAAAGCTGGTGGGGCATCTGTATTCTCTTCGATGGCCTTTCCAGGATGAACCTAAGCCACTAGGGGAAGACCTATGGAACCAATCTTTTAGGACTTTAAATGTTAGTAACCTATGGTGATACCATATAGTTCACAGACTCCATTGAGTTTTTTAAAACTTGGGGTAGATAAATCACATACCAAGTTACTAGGATAACTTTATGGGCCAGAGTTATCCAAGAGCAAAAGAACCTAACTATTCAGCTAGAATTTTGAGCCATAAAGATTAAGTGAAGATTAAGAATTGGAACTTATCAGCCACCTAGGTGGCTCAGTCAGTTGAGCATGAGACTCTTTATTTTGGCTCAGGTCATGATCTCAGGATCATGGGATCAAGCCCTACAGCTAGGTGTGAAGCCTCCTGGGGATTCTCTCTCTCCTTCTCCCACCTTCTCTCCCACTCTTAAAAAAAAAAAAAAAGAATTGGTATTTACCATCCCTCCTTTCCAATAATGTCATTGGCAGGTACAAACCTTATAAACTGCAGGGGAGACTCTGTGGACTCCAGCATTATTCCCCATGATCAGGAGCCTTGCTGGTAACTTTCACCTGTAGTCTACTTCCCTGCTTACTACCTCCCCCATCTTTTCCCTGCTTCCCAAAGGACTACACTACTCAGGATATGTTATAGATGAAATGGATGTAAGAATGTATATACTTAAAAACCACAACAAGATACCACTTCAGGCCTACTGGGATGACTCCTATCAAAAACAACAGAAAGCAAAAAAAAAAAAAAAAAAAAAAAAAAAACAACCACACAACAGAAAGCAATAAGTGTTGGGGAGGATTGGACAAAGTGGAACCCTCTCATGCTCCTGATAGGAATATAAAATGGTGCAGCCAATTAAAACAATGTGGTGATTCCTTGAAAAATTAAATACCTAATTACTATATGACCCAGCAATTCCACTGTTGGGTGATGCCCCAAATAACTAAAAGCAGGGACTCAAACAGAAAGTGGTATGGGAACATTCACAGCAGCACTATTCAACAGCCAAAGGTGGCAACTGCTCAAATGTTCACAACGGACGAGTGGATAAACAAAGTGTAGTACAGTCGCATGACAGAGCAGGATTCAGCCATAAAAGGGAGCAAAGCACGGACACCTGTGACAACACAGATGAGCCTCAAAAACATGAAGTGAGGGATCCCTGGGTGGCGCAGCAGTTTAGCGCCTGCCTTTGGCCCAGGGCGCGATCCTGGAGACCCGGAATCGAATCCCACATCAGGCTCCCGGTGCATGGAGCCTGCTTCTCCCTCTGCCTATGTCTCTGCCTCTCTCTCTCTCTCTCTATCATAAATTAAAAAAAAAAAAAAAAATTTAAAAAACATGAAGTGAAGTGGAAACAGCCAAACACAGAAAGTCACCTATCCTATGATTCCGTGTACGTGAAATGCCAGAACAGGTAAATCCCTAGAGACAGAGCACAGACTGCTGGTTGCCAGGGGCTGGGGAAGGGGAGGGGGGAATAATTAATGGGTACAGGCTTTCTTCTACAGAGATGAGAATGTTTTGGAACTAAATAGGGGTGGTGGTTGTACAACATTATGAATGCACTAAATGCCACTGGACTGTTTAACTTTATTGTTTGTTTGTTTGTTTGTTTTTATAAAATCTTTTTTTTTAAATTTTTATTTATTTATGATAGTCACAGAAAGAGAGAGGCAGAGGGAGAAGCAGGCTCCATGCACTGGGAGCCCGACGTGGGATTCGATCTCGGGTCTCCAGGATTGCACCCTGGGCCAAAGGCAGGCGCTAAACCGCTACGCCACCCAGGGATCCCTGTTTTTTGTTTTTTTTTTTTAAGATTTTATTTATTTGAAAGAGAGAAAGCACACACAAGCAGGGGCAGAGGGAGAGAGAGAAGCAGACTCCTCACTGAGCGGGGAGTCCAACATGGGGGCTCAATCCCAGGACTCTGAGATCATGACCTGAGCTGACTGACTGAGCCACCCAGGTCCCCCATGAACTATTTACTTTAAAATTATTAATTATGTCATATGAATTTCAGCTCAATTTTTTTAAAAATGCATATGCATATCCATAAAAACTTTCCAAATGCCATCCAAACAATTAAGTGCAAAATTCTTTATACACTATATAACAAGGCTTATGTATTCTTTACATATTAATCATACCAATTATATCTGCCTCATGACTTTTTCATTTTTCTAGGAGTATTGGGTTCCAACAATGAAGAGACTTCAGCTGAGCAACCGCATAAATATGGATGGAAGGGCTTTAGTCCCAAGAAAGAATTCTATTTTCTGGGATCCCTGGGTGGCGCAGCGGTTTGGTGCCTGCCTTTGGCCCAGGGCACAATCCTAGAGACCCGGGATCGAATGCCACATCGGGCTCCCAGTGCATGGAGCCTGCTTCTCCCTCTGCCTGTGTCTCTGCCTCTCTCTCTCTATCTGTGACTATCCTAAGTAAATAAAAATTAAAAAAAAAAAAAAATTAAAAAAAGAATTCTATTTTCCCTTATACCGATGTTTGAATCAATTCTTTTTTTTTTTTTTTTTTTTTTTTTAAATAGGGTCCACACTCAGGATAGAGCCCCACACTGTACTCAAACTCACAACCCTGAGATCAAAACCTGGGCTGAGGGATCCCTGGGTGGCTCAGCGCTTTGGCGCCTACCTTTTTGGCCCAGGGCGTGATCCTGGAGTCCCGGGATCGAGTCCCACGTCAGGCTCCCGGCATGGAGCCTGCTTCTCCCTCCTCCTGTGTCTCTGCCTCTTTCTCTCTCTCTATCACAAATAAAAATAAATAAATCTTTAAAAAAAACAAAAAACAAAAAACAAAAAAACAAAACCTGGGCTGAGATCAAGATTCAGACACTCAACCAACGGAACAATCTAGGCGCCCTTTAATCAGTTCTAAAGAAATTGTCCTTTGGGCACCTGTGTGGCTCAATGGTTTGGCACCCGTCTTGGGCTCAGGGAGTGATCCCAGGGTCCTGGGATCCCACATTGGGCTCCCTGCAGGGAGCCTGCCTCTGCTCCTGCCTACATCTCTGCCTTTCTCTGTGTGTCTCTCATGAATAAATAAAGAAAAAAGAAAGAAAGAAACTGTCCTTCCTGTCCACTACCACTTTTACACAAGATTTTTATTCAGACTATAGATTTTCACATTCATGTTGTCTTTAGTATTCATGCAGTGAATTCATTTTAAGCAAACCACTCAGAATGCAGGGAGATTCACCAAAGCAATGCTCACCTGAGTCGAGTACAGTTTTCATGGATCCCAACTTCTAAAAGACATCCAGATAGTGCATTTTCTCCAAATAAAATGGGTTTGAAAGTTGCTGATGTACACAAACCCCTTCCAGCTAGAAAATGAAAAGATTATCCTCTTACTATTTTTGGTAAATTAAAGTTAAGGAATACTTCAAAGTTTTTCTTGGAAAACAGAAAACAATCAGCAGAAATAAAGTTCTAGTTTTCTAGAGAACTGAGGTCATTGTTACTCTAATCCTTTCAAAGCTGAATAAAGGTGCCTCTCTGTATCAGAATACCTGGACCAGGATCAATGGTTTATTCTGAGCAAGAAAGTTAATGCCTGTGGCAGATGCAGGTAATCACCACCAGTGCAAAGATTTTCCATAGTCTGGAACAAAGCTATGGTCATATCTCCAATTAGTGCCATCTTGGGCTACAGGCAACAATGACAAGAGACTCTCCACCCAACTATATATATATTTATAAATTTATATATCTATATATAAATTTGAAAGAGAGAGTGAGCATGAGCGGGAGGAGGGGCAGAGGGGGAGAGAATCTCCAGCAGACTTCCTGATCGCAGAGCAGAACTCAGGGCTTGATCTCACAACCTTAAGATCATGACCTGAGCCAAAATCAAGAAGTCAGATGCTCAACCAACTAAGCCACCCAAGTGCCCCAGCCAACTCCATATTTAAATCTCTCTTACAAATAACCATCACTTCAGGAGCAAACAATGTCAAAGTTAAAAACAAACCTGAAAAAAAAGGTGTAGAAGCACGATCTCCTCCACCCTCCCTGCCACCCCCACTCCAGCTAAATAAACCAACTGGAATTTAAAGTGATTAAGTACTTGATTAGATTCAAAATAAGGCCATATTTTCAATTCTAGTTTATCAAAGAGCAAACCATATTACCAAACCAGATTACCTGATTGCCAAAGGTATAAAGTTGTCACATTATTCATCTTGTTGGTATTTAGAGCTCGAACAGGCTTGCCAAGTTGGTATCCTAGACAAAGGCAATAATGAGAAGTAGCTAAAGTTAACCTAACACAGCAAGTGCTACCTCGTCAGATAGTATAAAAGAGGAATACACAACGAAAGGAAACACACAGGAAAAGCGAAGTCAGAATACACTTGAGAGAAGATACCATCTTCATTCATTTTCTTTTGTTTTTTTTTTAACAAAGATATTTATGTGATTTTTTTAAGAAAAATTTAAAAAATAAAATCTGAAAAGGAAGGAGCAGGCAGGAGTCAGTCCTAGGCCCCTCACACCAGGGAATCAGCTGCAGAGCAGGCCAGGGTACCCCGCTGAGTGATCACTACTACTGGACACAGGGGCTTTGAAAGGAGACTTAGACCAAAGCAACCTTTCAGTAGTTCACTGGCAAATCAGTTCCACTCCTGGTCTGATTCAGGTCCTATTCCCGTTGTCTCCTATTTACCTGCCTTACTGCTTCCACCTTTTTGTTATGAAAATGTTCACATATACACTAAAGTTGAAAGGAATACCACCCACAATCAACAACCATGAATATCTAGCCATATTTGTCTTCTCTATATTACAGAAGCATCTACATACATATTTATTTTTAGCAAGACCTTTTAAAAATAAGTTGTAGACTTAACACTTCACCTCTAAAAGCTCCTGAAATTAAGCAACACAGTCTCCTGAAATTAAGGCTATTCTTCTAAATAACCATCATACCAGTATTTCTCCTGAGAAAATTAATAATTCCTTATAATCAAATCATATCTAGCTCATACTTCTATTTCCTCATGTCCCCAAAACCTGTTTTAGAGCTATTTCTACAAACCAAGATGCAATCAGGGTTCATGCATGGTGTTCATGTTTCCCACGTTACCTCTCAGCATTCCTGGACAAGCGGCCTCCCCACAGGCCGCTCCTCTGCCCCTGCCCACCTCCGCCTGGGACTCATTCCTGCCTCCTTGGCCGCCCCCGGGTTATTCCTGTTCCCAGCCCACACTATCTACTTCCCGAGGTACAATCTCCTCCACACAGCCCAAAATAGAAACTTGCCGAGGGCAGAACTCTGCTTTTTCTCCAGCACTTCTGAGATCAGAACCAGCAGTACTAGATACTTAACACACGTCCTTAAGAATGGGAAGCTTAGGTGGATGGTGGTCAACATTCCACTTCTCTGAAGTTCTAGAGTATCCATCCTTTGCCCAGCACTCATTTATTATCTTGTATTCTTCTGTGTTGCTTCTGTGACCTGATGCTGTCTTTCCAATTAAGAGAGTTAATTCCTGGGATCCCTGGGTGGCGCAGCGGTTTGGCGCCTGCCTTTGGCCCAGAGCGCGATCCTGGAGACCCAGGATCGAATCCCACGTCGGGCTCCCGGTGCATGGAGCCTGCTTCTCCCTCTGCCTGTGTCTCTGCCTCTCTCTCTCTCTCTCTCTGTGACTATCATAAATAAATTAAAAAAAAAAAAAGGAATTAACTCTCTTTTTTTTTTTAATTATATTTTATTTATTTATTTATTTATGATAGTCACAGAGAGAGAGAGAGAGGCAGAGACACAGGCAGAGGGAGAAGCAGGCTCCATGCACCGGGAGCCCGACGTGGGATTCGATCCCGGGTCGCCAGAATCGTGCCCTGGGCCAAAGGCAGGCGCCAAACCGCTGCGCCACCCAGGGATCCCGAGAGTTAATTCCTTGAGAATAAGCCCCACATTGTATACTCCTCCTAAAACCCTTCCTGCCTCAGAAGGTGCTAGAGAATGAATAGCTGTATATACACACAAACTATTTCACAAGCTCATCAGTTCTGGCTTGTAATCAACTTAATCTTTTTTGACAAGGGCATCAACATTTTTCACATTTTCTGATGGTGTTTCTCAGAAAATCCTGTGAAATTAAATTATGAAATGAAAACTCTTACATCCCAGAAGACTGCTTTGAAATCCAACAATAAAACCCAAAACTCCACATTAACAAATACACTAAAATCTTATTTAAAAGTTATATATATATAAAATGGATCATGCATTATTATATCAATTTATACAAAGACTGAAAAATCATGCAAACGAAAAATTTAAAGTTATTCCTTTGTGGTTACTTACTGCCTGATTAAGAATAGTAAAAAAGAAGGGACAAGGGAAGCCTGGGTGGCTCAGCGGTTGAGCGTCTGCCTTTGGCCCAGAGGGTGATCCTGGGGTCCTGGGATCAAGTCCCATATCAGGCTCCCTGCATGAAGCCTGCCTCTCCCTATGCCTAAGTCTCTGGACTCTCTCTCTGTGTCTCTCATTAATAAATAAAGTGTTTGAAAAAAAATGATTAAAAAAAAAAACAGGAAGGGACAAGTTTGTAAAAAACAATGATATTTTATCCAACATATATTTACTGAACACGTACTATGGTCTAAGTCAGTGCTGCCCAACAGGAATATAACCCAAACCACATATGTGACTTTAAAATATGACACATTTTTAGAATTTTTTAGACGTTAAAAAAATGTTTCTAGTAGTTTCTCATTAAAAAAAGAGAAAAAGTAGATGAAGTTAATTTGAATAATGTATTTTATTCAACTCAATATATCTAAGTATCATTTCCATATATGCCACTGGCCACATTGCATGGTTAGCAGCTGGCATGTTGGATATGAAGTTCTCCCTAATGTTTTAGGTGCTGAGGAGGCAACAGTGAATTAAAGAAGCAAATAAACATACAACAAATCCAGTGATGCTATATTTGTACATAATTACAAAATGTGCAGCATGACTGTTCACAGTCCCAGTGAAGTCTTTCCATGGATCCCAGGTTAGGAATTCATCTTCCATAGCTTCTTATTCCTTAAAAAAGCTAATTTTACCAACACTTCAAAAGAATTACTTTTTTTTTTTCCCCAAAAGACTAGTACCTAATGAGAAAGAATGTTTTGCATTTACAACAACTTGTAACTATCTAGGACACTTCATGTAAAACAACAACACAAAGGGATGCCTGGGTGGCTCAGGGGTTGAGTGTCTGCCTTCGGCTCAGGGCGTGATCCCGGAATCCCAGGATCGAGTCCCACATCGGGCTTCCTGCATGGAGCCTGCTTCTCCCTCTGCCTATGTCTCTGCCTCTCTCTCTGGTTCTCTCTTGAATAAATAAATAAAATCCTAAAAATAAAAAAATAAAATAAAATAACCCATGGGATGCCTGGGTGGCTCAGCAGTTGAGTGTCTGCCTTTGACTCAGGGCATGATCCTGGAGTCCCGGAATTGAGTCCCACATCCGGCTTCCTGCATGGAGCCTGCTTCTACCTCTGCCTATGTTTCTGCCTCTCTGTCTTTATGTCTCTCACGAATAAATAAGTAACATCTTAAAAAAAAAAGTTGTTGTCAGAAAAAGAATACAGTGTCACAAAAAACAAAGAGAAAGGTTAGAGTCACAAACTAAAATTATAGAGTTACTTAACAATCATCATAGTAGTACAAGAGTATTGAATCGAAATATGTTTGTAGGATCAGCAGTTGACATATACTGTCTTACCTGGATTTCCAGAAAATTCCTCTTCATTATCACTATTATAGCTTAAAAATTTTACTGTAAATCTCTGTGTCATGATCCCTAGAAATAAAACAAAATAAAAATATAATGTGCACCATTTCACTAGGAAGAGAAATTATCCCCCACAGTGTTATTTTCTTTACCGTATAATTACATTTTGACATGCAAAAGAAAAAAAGTGTTCTCTTAAATCACAAATACAAATAAGAAACAAGTCTGACTTAGTTTTACATGTAATAATTATGAGAAACTTAAAGAAAGAATAAAATGTTTTAAACTGAATACATTCCCACTGCCCTCAACAAAGTTACCTTTTTGGTGGGCATTAATTTCTGCCCTAATAATTTTGACATTTATTTCGCTGATTGTATTATTATTCCATCTGAAAATATAATGTTCTTCCACGTTCACGTTTCTGGAGGTTGATTCATTGCTGAAAAGTATTTCTACAAATAAAAAAATGCTTTCATAAATTAATGACCCTCCTTGGGTTCAAGTCTATTACTGTCCCCATCAAATCAGCATTGGCCACCTCCTCTACAACATCACAATATCCTGGGTGAGGTCTGCCCTTCCTTTCTATTTCTGTACCCCCAGAATGCGGCTCATAGCACAATACAGAGCACACACTCAAAAGAATGTCAAAAATGAAGGACTACAGAATGTCAGGCCCTTAAGAGCAGAGGCCTGCTATGTAGCTCACTACTATATTGTAGGTACTTTTTTTTTATTGTAGGTACTTTGCTAAGGTTTGATAAATGAATAAATTTGAGAATTATGACACATTGTAAAGAAACACAAATATCTTTCATTAACAACAAAAATCTTGGTAATATTAGTGAAACTCTGAATAACTTGTTTAGCTGCATCAGAATGCAAAGTTTAGGGTGCCTGGGTAGCTCAGTTGGTTGAGCATCTGCTTTCAGCTCAGGTCATGATTCCAAGGTCCTGGGATCAAGTCCCACATTGGGCATCCCACTCAGTGGAGAGTCTGCCTCTCTCTCTCTCCCCCCTGCTCGTGCTCTCTCAATCTCTCTCAAGTAAATAAATAAAATCTTTAAAAAAAAAAAAAAACTGCAAAGTTTAGTTATTAAAAAAAGGGGGGGGGATGCTGGGTGGCTCAGCAGTTGAGCATCTGCCTTTGGCTCAGGGCAAGATCCCAGAGTCCTGGATCAAGTCCCGCAAGAGACTCCCTGTGTAGAGCCTGCCTCTCCCTCTGCGTGTGTCTCTGTGTCTCTGCCTCTCTGCCTCTCTCTCTCTCTCTCTCTCTCTCTCTCTCTGGCTCTCATGAATAAATAATAAATAAAATTTTAAATAAATAAATAAGAAAAAGAAGAAAAGAGAGCAAGAAGCATAAATGTTGGCTCCCTGAAAAATATTTCAGAAAATGTTCACAGGCCCTGAAAACTAGCAGAGACCCTGGAGTCCACATTAACTCACAGCTGTGAGGAGCTGGCTCCAGGGCACAAATATTGCTCTGAAACAAGGCAACAGGGAACAGGGAAGAAATAAAATTCTAACTGTTGTGAACCTCTGTAAATTCCTAATAAAAATGTATTTTCCCTCTAGGACTACATATTACTTATAAGAAATGAACTACATATTTCTGTAGAAGTAATATAAAAGCATGAATTCAAATACCTGTACTGGTGATGAATTTGTCTGGGTCGGCTGCTTCCTCATAGATTACTTTTGGTTGAACGATGCCTAAAAAGATAAAGAAGTTAGCCTCCAGAAGACAACATGGCCCAACACGATCATATTTACTTATTCAAGTGAAAGCTTACCAGGAAAATACAGTAATTGTGTCTGACCTATGTGCCAGCTACAAAACTCTCTCGCTCCCAAAATGCCAATCATGGGAATCCCACTGTTCTTGGCATCCGGTAATGACTAAGGAAGAGATTCCAAAGTCAGTGACAGTGACCCGGAGAGCTACTCTCCTACAGGAACAAATATGCAGTCCACTGCCAGCGGGAATGGAAGACGGTGTGCTTGCTTTAGGAGCGGTCTGGAGTTTCCTCACCACATGACTTGGCAATCCCACTACTGGGGATACAACCAAGAGAGATGCAAATGGGTGCCCACACAGACACTTGTACATGGGCATTCATAGCAGCACAACCACAACTATCAAAAGCAGGAAACAACCCAAATGCCCAACAAAGGATGAACAGATGATGTATGTGGCCCATATATTCACAGGATGGAACAGGACTTAGCCATAAAAAGGAATGGAGTTCTGATCCATGCCACAGCGAGAATGAGCCTTGCAAACATGATGCTAAGTGAAAAAAGCCAAACACAAAAGACCACATATTATAGGATTCCTTTTATATGAAAAGTCCAGAACAAGCCAATCCAGAGACAGAAAGGGGATGAGTGGTCACTAGGGGTTGGGGTACAGGGTCTCCTTTAGGGAGAGGAAAATGTTTTGGAACTAAACAGAGGTGGTAGTTGCACAGCACTGTGAAGGTACTAAATGCCACTATCTATACACTTTAACATGGTTAATTTTATGTTATATGAAGCTTACCTCCATTTTTAAAGAACTAATATGCAATGTGTTGCCCTAAGGAACTGGACTTTTTCTGAAGAAAACATTTTCCTCAATTGACAGTTGAAATATTTAAAGTTGATCCAGCAGAAGTGATTCATATCCTCATGAGATCAGTTTATGTAGACAGACACTCAGGTCTGTGTTCTTTTCTTTTCTTTCTTTCTTTCTTTTTTTTTTTTTTTTTTTGTAAAGCATTATTCATTATTCATTTGAGAGAGAAAGAGAACACTCAAGGAGAGGGGCAGAGGGAGAGGCAGAGAAGCAGACTTCCTGCTGAGCAGGGAACCTGATGCAGGGATCTATCACAGGACCGTGAGATCATGACATGAGCCAAAATCAAGACTCAGTCATTTAACCGAATGAGGCGCCCTGTGTTCTTTTCTCAAACCAATGTAACATACCTCCTACGGCACCATTCTTGATCTTCACATTGGTAATATCATCTTGCTCTTGGTATACGTCCAAATTAGTAGCACACAGAACATCAAAATTCTGAAGGAATGCCACTGGCGCATCCTGCAGGCACTGCCCAGCCAGGGACACCTGGGTGAGGGGAAATCCCAACAGGGCTATGACCTCTCTTCAAAGCACAAAATATAGGTCAGTGTCTTATACAGGCATTCTTTCTGCACTCTTCTCCTATTGCTGGGTTAGTTTCAACAATAATGAGTTCACTGACTAGATGGCCAACAAATAAAATATTTAGTTAATTTGCTAATCAAACTCTGGAAGCTACTGGTTGAGGAGCAGAAATATTTAACAGAAACAAAGAAAACACCCTGCTCCATTTACTTTGCAGAAACATGATTATATTCAACTTAATCTTTCTCTCCCTTGGGACAACCAGATTTTTGTTAAAACCATTAAAATGGATTCCCTGAACAGTGAAGAGAGATGGTTTAGACTCTTACGTTTTCTTCCCACAAATATTTTTTCCTCATGATTTTGGACTTAAAAAAAAAGATTTCATATAAAATTCTCTAGCCTTGAGATATTTCTCAAAGTTGTGGAATATTAAATTATATACTTCTAGCTTACTAAAAATTGGCTGTTAAAACTAACAGAAGTTCAGAATGGTAGTTATTTCCATGGAAATTTATAGAATGTCTTTTAGTTGGTAAGTTCACTCTGAGATGTAGCAGAGATGGTGGCTAATCTAAGATGGACTGTTAAAAATAAAATCCACAGACCATAAAGAATTGAGTCCCTGGGAAGTCCACAGGAGAAAAATAAGTAACTTAGGGTAACATTTTTAAGAGCAGTATAAGTTAAATTAACAACAGGATGGGAAAAAATTTTAAAGACTCTAGCACATTAAAATGGAAATTATTACCTGCGGAATGGTCAAATATGCCTTGTCTAGAGTCATGACTGGATCTCCTTGTTTGTAACCGAAGTCTGAAAAGTCTCTGTAATCAGTATGCAGATGTACTTCAGAGGCAATATGCTGCCTAGAGGAACTGGAAATCAATGAGAAGGATTATCACTAATATTTGCAGCTAGGAAAAATTCTTCTTTTAATTTTTGTTTTACTTTTTTTAATTACAAAAATAATATGTGGGCTAAAAGCCACAGAATTGTACACTTGAAAGTGGCTGGTGGCAAATTTTGTTACATGAATTCTACTTCAACAATAATAATAATAAAGTGGTAAAATTTCAACATTATGGAAAGGTACAAGAAAGGGAATCAAGACCCCCGGGAGACCACCACTCCTTTCTCAAACCCAGATAATCACTATTAGCTGTTGGCGGTATCAACCAATTTATTTTCAGTGAGGCCCAATTCTTTCAAATACTTAATACAAAATAAACCTGCTAATGGAACTCTAGAACTGAATGGCAAATCGAGGAAGTCAGGGCTATATGGGCCCAGGAGAGGTCATGAGCACCCAAGGGCTGCACCCCAACACGCACACAGAGCCGTCATAGAAGTAGCCCAGGAAGGGTGAGTTGGCCAGCGAGGACTGAACACACAGGAACGGGAACCAGCCTGGGGTCCGGTAGGGCTCCTGCACAGAGCACAGCTGGTCAAACTGAGGATTGACGTCACCTCCAAAGACGCCGGTGAAACAGGCCTCTCTGAACAGCTCTGTTAGATCTGACGAGCATTCCTTAGGAGGAAATATAGAGCAGCAGTGAGTAGACAGAAGCTTCTGCAGTGCCCGTTGTCAGCTCTTGGCAGAGCAGTACACCACTGAAGAAGCACAGAACAAATCTCCATCCAGCGTACTGGTGCTTTGTGCTCACACAAAGTAAAATGCTGCTATAATCTATTTTTAAAAGATATTTATTTGAGAGAGAGAAACAGAGATAGTGAGAGAGAGCATGAGCAGGCAGGAGAAAGAGAAACAGGCTCCCCACTGAGCAAGGAGCAGAAGGTGAGGCCCAATCCCAGGATCCTGGGATCATGACCTGAGCCCAAGGCAGAAGCTTAACCAACTAAGCCACCCAGGCGTCCCTCCTGCTGGAATTTCTTCATCAATTCCCTATGAGCCTCCAAGTCAGGAATTTCAAACCTTCCAGGGAACCACATCCTTACTCGGAACATAGTATGTGTCCACCAAAAAAAAAAAAAAAAAAAAGAAGACGACGACAAGAGAATATGGAATAGACTCCAAATGGGGAATAAAACAGAGTAAACTTCTCTTTTTGATTGTCATCACCATCCAAATCCTTAGAATCCTAAAGAAACTTTATGTTGGGGCAAATAGTCCATACTCTATAAAATCCTTAATTATGGGGATCCCTGGGTGGCGCAGCAGTTTGGCGCCTGCCTTTGGCCCAGGGCACGATCCTGGAGACCCGGGATCGAATCCCACGTCGGGCTCCCGGTGCGTGGAGCCTGCTTCTCCCTCTGCCTGTGTCTCTGCCTCTCTCTCTCTCTGTGACTATCATAAAATAAAAAAAAAATTAAAAAAAAAAATCCTTAATTAAGGCCCTCGCCATATCAGAACACAACCCAATCAATGTGATCAAGAAGTGACTTTATTCCTATATTCTGTTATTCATCCATATTCTTCCTTGTTTCATACAGGATTGAGAGTTAAAAGTTAATTATGTCCTGAATCCCTTGTTTACTGACAATAGAAAAGTAAATTTTAAATAAGAACAATTCAATTAAAAAATTGACCATGTTTAAAGCAGTAAGTAGCAGCCCCCCGAAGACATCACTGATCCAGAAGACTAAGCAATGCCAGCGGTTGGTGCTGTCTACATCGATACCAAATAGGACAAACATGCAAGAAGTTAGAAATAGGACACAGTACTGCAGTCTGGAAGAAAGAGGAAGAGAACACCATTTTAACAGTTCTATTAATACTGACTTATGATGTTCCTTATTTTTAAATTAAATATAATTGTTATTATAAGTACAATTCTTAGTATGAGAATTACAATATAAATGAAGGCCCTAAACTTTGCTTTTCTGCTTTTTCCTTTTCTGTTTTGTAAAACCAACCACAACATAATTGCACTCAACCGTAAATGGGGGTGACTAGGGCCCCAGCAAACATGCCTCTTTTGCATCTCTTAAACCTCAAAGAAGGATTAGAAAGATGTATTTGGATTGGGCAATGGTTTCCTAGATATGGCACTAAAAGCACAAGCAACAAAAGAAAAAATGGATCAATCAGACTTCAGCAAATTAAGAAACTCTTGGGCTTCAAATGACACCAACAAGAAAGTGGGCAACCTACCCAACAGGGGACGTTTGTTGCAAATCACATACCTGATTTGGGACTAGTAACCAGAAGGTATAATGAACTCTTACAGTTTAACAATAAAAAGGCAACCCAGTTTAAAAATGGGCAAAGGGTCTACAATAGACATTTCTTCAAAGATATAGGAATGGCCAGGAAGCACATGAGAAGATGATCAACATTATCTTGCTACTACAGAAATGCAAATCAGGGGCGCCTGGGTGCCTTAATTGGTGAAGTGGCTGCCTTAGGCTCAAGTCATGGTCTCAGGGTCCTGGGATCGAGTTCCACATCAGGCTCCCTGCTCAGTGGGGAATCTGCTTCTCCCTCTCCCTCTGCTGCTCCCCATAACACTGCGTCAGCTATGAAACACTGTACTCGGGATCCCTGGGTGGCACAGCGGTTTGGCGCCTGCCTTTGGCCCAGGGCGCGATCCTGGAGACCCGGGATTGAATCCCACGTCAGGCTCCCGGTGCATGGAGCCTGCTTCTCCCTCTGCCTATGTCTCTGCCTCTCTCTCCCTCAATCTGTGACTATCATAAACAAATAAAAATTAAAAAAAAAGAAACACTGTACTCCTTTCTGTCAAATAAATACATAAAATCAAAAGAAAGAAAAGGGAAGAAAGAAAAGAACAAAGAAAGAAAGAAAGAAAGAAAGAAAGAAAGAAAGAAAGAAAGAAAGAAAGAAAGAAAGAAGGCAAATCAAAATCATAATGAAATACCACTTCACACTCTCTAGAATGGCTGTAATCAAAAAGATTATTATAACAAATGAAGGTGAGGACATGGGAAAAAAATTGCAGCCTCATTCTGCTGATGAGAACGTAAAATGGAGGAACCACTTTGGAAAAGTGAAACATACAGTTGCCATAGAGCAGAGCAATCCCACTCCTAGGTACTATACCCAAGAGAAATGGAAACACATGTCCAAATAAAAATTTGCATACAAATGTTTACAGAAGCTTTATTCATAACAGCCAAAAAGCAAAAGCAATCCAAATGTCCATCATCTGAAACACGGATTGGCAATGTATTGCCATTGCATGGCAATGGCATCCATTGCATGGATAGACCAATGCAAGGGTCTGACCATCAGTATAATCAAACCCATGGGACAGAAGCAAGGCATTTTAGAGTAGGGTTGCAATGGGGTGTGACTTGGCCATTAGGAACACACCACTGACACCTGCCACAACGTGGAACCCTTTAAAACAGATGCCTAGTAAAAGAAGCCAGACACAGAATGCTACCACCTGTAGGAATCCATTTACATGCAATGTCCAGAACAGGCAAATCCATAAGCCAGAGAGCAGATGAAGAGTGGCCCAGGGATGAGCACTGGGAACAGAAGTTGCAGAAGGACACAAAAAAGTGTTCTTTCTGAGATGATGAAAATGTTCTCAAATTAGGTCATGGGGAGGGTTGTACACCTACCTTTACACATTCACCAAAAAAAATAAAAATAAAAATAAAATCACTGAACCAGTATCTTTTCCTTCTTTTTGATCTTTCCATAAAGGCTTCTCAATAAGATAGTAAATAAATACCACCCCCTCGGTATAATCGTCTCAATTGTGACTTTATCCAAAGAGATACATTTTTTTGCTTCCAAAACTAGACTGATGGGACTAGGTAAGAAAACTCATTTTGAAAACAATCTGCAGCACAAAACACAATCTGAGTTTTCACAGCCCATCCATCAAAAAGCTGGGGGTGGGGAACTGCTGGTATTGTCCACATGCTCTCGGGCGGGCATCAGAACTTTTGAATCAGTCATTGGCAGGGCATACCTGGTCACAGCAGCAGCGAACGTCACAGGCGTTGGCTGTCAGATTACAAGGGCAGGGACCAAGGGGCTGATACACCTGGCTGGGAATAACAGTCACATTCTCTGAAAAGTACAACAACAGAAACACTGCGTCAGCTATGAAACACTGAGGAAGCACTGCCACATTTTTTTGACACTCAAAAGAAAGCTGAACCATTGTTTTACTAATCACCAGGACCAAATATTACACAGTAAGGAATCCCTGAGCTATGTGTAAACCCTATCTGAGGCCTGTTATCTGCTACTCCAACAAAGACCCAAATATAGGAAAATAGGCTAGTTACAATAAATGGAAAGTCATGGTTGATCTTAAAGATAATTAAGTGACTAAAATTTACAAGTTGGGATAAATATAACGCAGATTTTATTTTTCAACATGCTGAAGAATCACTTTTCATAACACGGACTGACATTAAGCATTGAGTCCTTCAAATTCATTACCTCTTCCAGCAGATAAAACCAAAGCCACGGTGACATTTCAGACAGCTTATCTGGGCCTATTTGGCCACAAGATTATTTCTAATCATGCTACCTGTTCAGCCTCATGTCCCATTGCACCACAAACCCAACTCTTCACATCCTTTTTCTGGTTCAAGTGTGAAAGTGTAGGGGAAATTAATAATTTTTACATGGATTGGAAAAGGATTATGTTATATTGCATTTCAACCTCCTAACTCAGAATCCAGAGAGTAATCTTTCCAGTTTCTCTGCAATAATTTATCAGGTAAAATTTTAAGTCTGCTGAATTTTGTGTTTTGTTTTTTTTTTTTAAAGTAGGCTCCACACCCAGCACGTAGCCCAATGCGGAGCTTAAATTCACGACTGTGAGATCAAGACCTGAGCCAAGATCAAGGGACAGATGCTTAACCAACTGAGCCACCCAAGTGGCCCCTGAATTTCACTTTTGCCCCAAGATTTGGTACATGTTGAAAACTATGTAGCAATTACTTCTTCAGATTCTATGTAACAGTTAACTTCAATGTGACAGTTGAAGCATCTAAAGATCAGCTAATTACATAGTCTATGCTATATAATGGTAGAACCCCAGTAAGTCAATGCGTCAGGAATGAGAAGGTCTGAGTAACAGATTATGTTACTCAGGCCAGGCAAGGGTCTGACCATCAGTGTAATCAAACCCATGGGACAGAAACAAGGCATTTTAGAGTAGGGTTTTACTATATGATATATAGATAGATGCCTGTATATCTATCTATATGTCTCCTATGCCATTTGCTAGCTTACTGTTACTAGGCATACCACATACCTCCTATCTGTCCTTCCATCCTTTTTCTTGTTCTGAGCTCTGTGTGACTGGGTGCAAAATGTTTCATACCTTCATGGGGTCAAAGCAGACATCTCATAATTACTAATATACAAAGACTCTAATTTTCCTAAGTTTGGCTATTTGTACAAAGACATTCTGAGATATTACCTAAATATAGTTAAGCATATTTTTTAAAAGAAAAAAGGCCACTACTTTAAATGGTATAGCTAATCCCTCTCATAGTTTTAAGCACCCACAGAATATTATTGTTTTGTTTTGAATTTTAGATATTAGAAAATGTTTTTCTTCTAAAAACAAAACTTTAAACCTTTAATTAGGTCACAGATTCACATGTCCAAAAAAGAGGATCTAAAAAAGGTACACAATGAAGTCCTCACAGCCAGCCCCTTCCTGTTCCCACATCCCTCTCCAAAACGGTCCCACATGGTTAGGTTCTCAGAGAGCCTTCCAGAACTTCTTTATGCAAATATAAATATATATTCTTACTCCATGCTATATGTACCCATCTGTATCTGCTTTCCACAGTTGGAGATTTATCTTGGAGATCTTTCCATGCTGGCACAATGAGGGCAGAGTAGCCGGCTGAATGGCACTGTCTTAACTTACCTAATCCTCCTCCACTTCCAAAATCACAAGGAGGACCACAGTGAGGTGATAGAAGTACCAGTGTGAGAGTCTCAAAGTGACAGACCTTTGCTATTAAGGAGGAACACATCTCCCTTCATTCCGGATGATCATAAAGGCAAGAAATGCTAGAGGTGGTTGCAGGACATAGGGAACATGGCGATGGCACCATTGGCACATCTACATTCTCTTGTTCTCAGAACACTGCCATGTTAATGTCCAAAAACATGTGATATCTGCTATAGTGCTAGTTATACATCATAAGCTAGAAGTGCCTTAAATTCCATCAGTAAGAGACTAGTCAAACAATGGTATCGCCACACAAGGGAATACTATGCAGCTCTTAAAAAAAATAGGTGAAACTACATTTATATGGAATTTATTTTTAAAAGGTATAGAATAGAATAGTAAATTGCATGTTATTAGTGCATGTGTGTGTATTGTTTTTAAACAAAAGAATATCACACGCCAAAAAAAAAAAAAAAAAAGAATATCACACGCCTCCATAAGCGGAAATTAAGAGGCTGCCTCTGAAAAGGGATCTGGCAGGCAACTTTGACTGAAAATTTACTGTGGGTTTTCGGTTTGTTTTGTAAACTTCATTAATCTTTCCCTCATTTCTTTTTTGTTGTTGTTGTTTTTGGTTTTAAGATGGAGTCACAAGAATCAATACACAGAAACAAACTTCTCTTTCTCCCTTGAAGGTAATCTACAAGGATATGAACAATAGCACAAAATAAAATAGGTCTTAATTAAGTAAAATAGTACAAATTATAAATTTCTAAAATAAGAAAATTAAGCAAAAAGGAAGTATGTTTAGAAAGGTAAAATTGTTTTTTTTTTGTTTTGTTTTGTTTTTTTAGAAAGGTAAAATTGATTCAAGAGCAGAGTGCACAGATTGCGTGTCATATGCTTATAATCTGACAGAAAATGTCTGGCATGAATGTTTTTATTGTCAAAGACTTTACTAACCTGATGCATTATGGGCCAAAGAAGAGTTGGCATAAATTTCCACTCGAATGAGCAGATGTGCTAAGCAGGATGAATTGCGAGATGCTGAAACCAGAAGAGTCTGGACAATACACGGGGACTCTGAGAAGGAATCCGTCTCATTAGAGAAACACCTTTGCAGACCCCTCTTCAACCTCACTGTCACATCCAACGCATTCTGAAAGGAAAACGTGCTGTCCCTTTTAAAGTGACTCAACAATAAATAAATAAATAAATAAATAAATAAATAAAGTGACTCAACATAGCACGAATAATTCTAAGAACACATAATGGAAAACACAATACATATCAGCTTCAGTTCACTTGACAACAGGAGAACTATATACAAAGATCACATCATTCTGTTTGATCCTACCCTGTAAACCTGGGCAATATGCAAGCCCTGATTCCTAATCCTCAGTTTAACAGAAAAGCAAGCAACTTTTGGAGAGTTAGAGAAGCCTAAACATAGGTCTGTCAGGTAAATTAACTCAGTATGCCCAGCACCTTTTTAGCGACTTTATCATCCTACCAGCATATCAGCAGATGAAATACACACAAAAGTCAATGAAAACAGCCCTAGTTCCTGCGGTATAAGCAAAGTCTGCCTTTCTCAGCCTTTATCTCCAGATTTGATGTCTTGCACATACTAGGCACTCAATAAAACATTTATTAAATGGAAGATATTTAACTCCTCTGGGCTTGAGTATTCTTTTTTTATTTTTTTTATTTTTTAGTTTATTTATGATAGACAGAGAGAGAGAGAGAGAGAGAGGCAGAGACACAGGCAGAGGGAGAAGCAGGCTCCATGCACCGGGAGCCTGACGTGGGATTCGATCCCGGGTCTCCAGGATCGCGCCCTGGGCCAAAGGCAGGCGCTAAACCACTGCACCACCCAGGGATCCCTGGGCTTGAGTATTCTTACATGTAAGATCAGAGCTGGGTGAGGCCAGTGGCTTATGAAGATTTTTGAGTCATGGATCCATTTGATAATCTGATGTGAGCTGGCAACCCTCTCCTCAGAAAAATGCAGGCACACAAATAACATTACAGACAATTTCAGAGGGTTCACAAACTTCTTGAAACTCATCCAAGGATCCCTGAATCTAGGGTGAGCCCCACTGAGTTGGGTGGGTGTCCACTGGAACTGATAACCTACAGTTTCATGGTAGTTCCAAGCAGAGGGAAAACTATGTATCTTGACCAACCAAGAAAGCCCTGCAGAAACACTAACTGCAGGTGTCCATGAGTGCTAACCGAGGACATTTTACCTCTGACCTTACCACGCTAGGGGTCACAGTCAAGCTCCATTCTCCTGTCTCATTAGTCAGCACTCCACAAGCAGGAACCGGTAATAACCCTATAGGAGAGAAGATTAGGATGCAAGGCGGGATTAGGATGCAGCTAAGGGGGTGCATGCATGCTGGACTCAGGCTCCCTAGGAGGGAATGAGGATTGGGCCGTTCATAAGCTGTGCGACTTTGGACAAGTGACAACCTCTCTGAACTGCAGGGTCTTCATTTGTTAAAGGACATGAAAGGATATTACTGTTCTCACGAGGAAAATACGGTGATGCACCTAAAGCACAGGGGAAGGACAGCTCAGTGGATGCTAGCCATGGCGGCCCCAAGCTCGCTTTCACCGAACCCTTCGGTCGGCCAGCGGTGGTCCGCAGCGGCCCCCCATCCCTGCTCCCACGCCGACTCTGCAGTGGCCGGCGGCCGGCGCCGCGAGGATGCCACCTCCCAGGATGCCACGTGGCCAGGCTCCGTGGGCCGCCCAGCCCCCACCCTCCCCACAGGAAGGGCCGGACTCTTTACCCTCCTTGTCTTGCAGCAGGGCCAGGGACACGGTCACATCCTCGGTGCGTCCGACCAGGGACGCGCTGGCCGCGGGGCCGGTCATGCGGATGAAAGCTGGGATGAAAACTAGGCGGGAAAGAAGGGGAAGGGTGGATTTACTAGCTGCAAGGACTCCGTGAGGGGTCCCAAGTCTGGCCCCTGAAACGCCTCGTTCCCAACCCCGCCCCCGCCCCGGCCTGCAGGCCCCGGCCCTGCGGTACACACCCAGGTCCCCCCACAGCGGCCTCAGGACGCCCTGCAGAACGAGAAGCCCCAGGAGCAGGGGGGCCCGCGGCGGCAAGCCCATGCCTGAGGCCTGGGGGCTCGCTTCACGGAACCGCGCCGACCTCGGAAGCCCGGGAGCTCGGCCGCCCGGGCCCGCGCCGCCCGGCCGCCGCCATCTTGTGAAGCCGGCGGGAGCTATGGCAACCACCAATCAGCCGCGGGCCTCAGAGCCCCGCCCACAGGCCCTGCGCCGCGGCCTCTCCTCGCGGGGGTGGGGAAGGGAAGCGGTCCCCTCGCCTCCAGCTAGGCCCACGGCAAGAGCGAGCCTACGGGCACTGGCTCCTGAGGAAGCTCCTTAATAAACTTGACTTTTATGGGCACTTTGGGAGGACAAAAAAGGGGGTGGGGCTGCCGTGCTGGAACTGCAGGGCTGTTGAGTTGTTTTTATCCTCCCAGTTTTTTGAAGAGTTTTGTGTTGCTTGTTTTTGCCGCACGGAGCCATAAGCGCTTGTAGGCAGGTTTCTTTTAAGACTTTATTTATCTATTCATGAGAGACACAGAGAGAAAGAGGCAGAGACACAGGCGGAGGGAGAAGCAGGCTCCCTGCAGGGAGCCCAATGCGGAACCGGATCCCAGGACCCCGGGATCACGACCTGAGCCAAAGGCAGATGCTCAACCACTGAGCCACCAAGTCTCCCCATTGGCAGATCTTTTCAAAGAACACAAAGTATTTTGCCCAGCATTAGGACGGTTGCCAAAGTATCTGAATGCTATGTCAATAGCCTCAAAGCATCTCACGCCATATTACTGTAACCCGACTAGGGGTGCAGGCTATGGGATCACTGTGGGATTTCTCCCCCCTTCCGCGACTGGGTTGTGGAGGCCAAGAAAAATTAAGGCCATTCCACCTCACGTTTAGCATTAGCACAAGAACAGCTATCTTAGTCCCCTGGGAATAAGAGCTGAACTTTACAGGAAAAACTGCAGAATGTCCTAGGCAGGGAATCCCACATCGGAAAGACCATAAAGCTCAGAATGCCCTCGGCAGAGAATCCCATATCAGATCTTAAGAAACTCCCCCACCCTTTCCCCCATATTGGAATGGAAAAAATTCCTCCACCCCTTCTGAAGATCCCCTAGACCAGCCCATAAAAAACCCAGCCGTAACCCACTTCGGGGTCCAAGTCCCTGCTCCGCTGTGTCGGGTACACTTGGACCCAAGACCGAGCTTGTAAATAAACCCTCGTGTGTTTGCATCGGTGTCGGCTCCTTGGTGGTTTCTCGGATTCGCAATCTTGGGCACAACAGGGTGACCTGGGGCAGCTCACCTAACCTCTTCGAATTTGAGTTTCCTCATCTGTAGAAGGGAGAGAACAGTCCCTCCCTGATAGGATTGTGTGAGGATTCAATGAGGTATCTCGTATCAATGAGTCTAGACTAATGCCGGGCATATGGTAAGCACTCAATAAATGTTCACTCATTGTTAGCTCTCAGCGGGATGGTATATACCTGTTAGCTGAGAAGATCTACGTCTGCACCATGCCTGACAAACAGCAAATGCCAAATACAGGTACCAAAGTTACCTGTATTGGCAAATACCACTTGTCAGACACTCAAAATAAATGCCATATTCATTGGTCGGCAGACCCAACATTCTGAAAGCAATCTGAAAGTTGAAGTTCTACGCATGCCTTGCACTGAACTTTGCCTTGTTCTTAACACTCTTACATAGTAGTGGAGTTGTGCAGTTGTAACACTGGCATGAAATCCCAGCCACCACCCCCACATCAGCTCCTCTAGGGGGACTGCAAAGTATTCATATCTTAGTATCTGAGAATAAAGCCTAGGAGAACTAGGAGAGTTGTCAAACAGACATTTATTTATTAATTATTCCTCGACGAAAGAGTAACAAGTATTTCATTGAGGAAAATTGTATTGAATTACTTGTAATCCTGGGTCAAAATGATTTTACATCTAGGGGAAACATGAGAAAATAATTTATGCAAATGAATGTTGGGGGGGGGTTGTTTTAAATATAGTACGACTCTTTATCCTGAGTTTGCTAGACCTTAATATTGTTGCCATGTTGGGATCCCTGCATGGAGCCTGCTTCTCCCTCTGCCTGTATCTCTGCCTCAAATCTTAAAATATAGGGGATCCCTGGGTGGCGCAGCGGTTTAGTGCCTGCCTTTGGCCCAGGGCACGATCCTGGAGACCCGGGATCGAGTCCCACGTCAGGCTCTGTGTGCATGGAGCCTGCTTCTCCCTCTGCCTATGTTTCTGCCTCTCTCTCTCTCTCTGTGACTATCATAAATTAAAAAAAAATCTTAAAAAATATATATTATTGCCATGTTGTCACATACTGTAGGTAGGAAACGTTAGCACCGTTACCTGTATTAGCAAATGTCACTTGTCAGGCACTCAAAATAAGAACATTTTTATTTAACATCAGTGGAAACCTGTCCTTTAAAAAAAAAGATTTTATTTATTTATTCATAGAGAGAGAGAGAGAGAGAGGCAGAGGGAGAAGCAGACTCCATGCAGGGAGCCCGATGTGGGACTCAATCCAGGGTCTCCAGGATCAGGCCCTGGGCTGAAGGCGGCGCTAAAATGCCAAGCCACCCAGTCCTTTACCAAACCACAGATAATCCTGTCAATACTTCCAGCTGTGACATCCTGCTATGATAAAGAAATGTACTCCTACTCGGGGCGGCTGGGTGGCCCAATCAGTTAAAAGTCAGACTCTTGGTTTCAGCTTAGGTCATGATTTTGGGGTCATGGGATGAAGCCTGATGGGGGTCTCCTTGCCCAGCTAGGAGTCTGCTTGAGATTCTCTCTCTCCCTCTGCCCCTCCCCCTTGCGCGCTCTAAGTAAATAAATAGAAAGAAAGAGAAAAGAGGAAAGAAATGCACCAGATTGTAATTCACAGGGCTTCTCTAAACCTCCCAGTTCTGATGGGTGGAGAAAGGATGATGAAAGTGGGTTTTCTCTTTTTTTTCCCCCTAGTTTTGCATATTTTCTTTTCTTTAAAATGCATGTAATTATTTTCTGTTCTAATCAGAATAGTACTTATTAACAGTATGTTTTTATTTTCTGCTTTTGGTCACATTAAGCTATTTAGCCAGTAGTGAAATGAACTATGGAATTCTAGGGCATTACAGTTAAAAAAAAAAAAAAAAGCTTCAAAAGTAAAGAAATATATATATGCTATTTGTGAGGTACTCAATGACACTATAAAAAATTAGATAACTTTCCTTAAAATTCTTTGTAATCAGTTCTATTAATATAAAATGTCAATTCAACTATTAATGAAAAGTCCAAATTTTTTTAATACTGTACTTCTCACATAAAAATGTCATTGGCCTATATTTACTCTCTTCTCCATTACTGCTGGAAACATTCCATGTTCTCTTCTAGGAATTACTAACAGTCTTACAAATCATGTTTGGATTATTTGAAAAACAAATGTTTTTTAAAAAGCAGGGGAGCAGGGAACTTTTTGTAGATTTACCTACAAAAAGTAGCCCAAGGGACTGCCTTTTTTTTAAAAAAAAAAAAAAGATTTATTTAGGGATCCCTGGGTGGCGCAGCGGTTTGGCGCCTGCCTTTGGCCCAGGGCGCGATCCTGGAGACCCGAGATCGAATCCCACGTCGGGCTCCCGGTGCATGGAACCTGCTTCTCCCTCTGCCTATGTCTCTGCCTCTCTCTCTCTCTCTCTCTGTGTGACTATCATAAATAAATTAAAAAAAAATAAAGATTTATTTATTTATTCATTCAGAGAGAGTGAGAGGCAGAGATACAGGCAGGGGGAGAAGCAGGCTCCATGCAGGAAGCCCGATGTGGGACTCAATCCCGGGTCTTCAGGATCACACCCCGGGCTGCATGCGGCGCTAAACTGCTGCACCACCGTGGCTGCCCAGGGACTGCCTTTAGAACCGCAAATTGGGTAGTTGTAACTATTTATTTATAGGAGGATAATTTCATAGCTTTAAAGTTAACTCTTATGAGACAATAAATTTCCTACTTTTATGACATCAAAATATACATTATTCTAGTTTACTTTATCCAATAAAATACCGAATACTTTAAATTTTGCTAACTTTGCTCCCAATATAAAATTACAAGCAAACACCAAATCTTTCTTCTAATAATTTCATACTGGAAACTCTGTATGAAATACTTCATACCAGGACTTCTGGGTGGCTCAGTGGTTGAGCATCAGCCTTCGGCTCAGGCATGATCCTGGAGTCCCAGGATCGAGTCCCACATCAGGCTCCCTGCATGGAGCCTGCTTCTCCCTCTTTTTTTTTTTTTAATTTTTTTTATTTATTTATGATAGTGAGAGAGAGAGAGAGAGAGGCGCAGAGACATAGGCAGAGGGAGAAGCAGGCTCCATGCACCAGGAGCCCGATGTGGGATTCGATCCCGGGTCTCCAGGATCGCGCCCTGGGCCAAAGGCAGGCGCCAAACTGCTGCGCCACCCAGGGATCCCTTCTCCCTCTGTCTATGTTTCTGCCTCTCAATGTGTCTCTCATGAATAAATAAAATCTTTAAATAAATAAATACATACATATATACTTCATACCAATCTATTATTATGCAGTATTTGTAACAATATTTTCACATAGTTTTAACAAGATTTTTTTTTAAGATTTATTTATTTATTTATTCATGAGAGACACACAGAGAGAGGCAGAGACAGGTAGATGGAGAAGCAGTCTCCCTGCCCAATGCAGAACTTAATCCCAGGACCCTGGGATCATGACCTGAGCCAAAGGCAGACAGATGCTCCACCACTGAGCCACCCAGGTGCCCCAGCAAGATTTTAAATCAAAGTTCTTCAGGAGCACCTGGCTGGCTCATTGAGTAGACCATGTGACTCTAGATCTTGGGGTTCTCAGTTCAAGCCGTACATTGGGCACAGTGCTTACTTAAAAAAATAAAAGCTCTTCAGAGTTGAATAAAAACTTGACATTTAGGGGGATCCCTGGGTGGCGCAGCGGTTTAGCGCCTGCCTTTGGCCCAGGGCGCAATCCTGGAGACCCGGGATCGAGTCCCACGTCGGGCTCCCAGTGCATGGAGCCTGCTTCTCCCTCTGCCTATGTCTCTGCCTCTCTCTCTCTCTGTGACTATCAAAAAAAAACAAAAAAAACAAAAAAAACAAAAACCTGACATTTGT